GTACCTAAAAAACTATATAAGGACCTGTACCACACCCTTTTTGAATCACACCTATGTTATGGAATATCTGTTTGGGGAGGTGTATCAAATAATAAACTAGAAGCCATATTTAAAACACAAAAGAAATGCATAAGAATTCTCTTTGGTGATAATGATGCATACTTCAATAAGTTCAAAACATGTGCCAGAGTAAGGCCTATCACTAGGGATAAGACCGGTAAAGTTATCAAGCAGATGTTAGGCAAAGATTTCTTTGAACTAGAACACAGTAAACCAATCTGTAACGAGTATAACTTCCTGACTGTCCACAATCTTCATAAGTTGCACTGTTTACTGGAAATGTTTAAAATTAATAAGTTCCAATCACCAGTCTCAATGTTCTCTTTATTCAACAGGTCACCAAGACGAGACAACTACTTCATCCCACCCACTCCATCCTCACTATTCATCTATCAATCAACTAGTATTTGGAATCACTGCCGTAAGTCAACAAGTGAAATAGACTTCTCCACTCCCATCAGTATATTCAAGAATAATCTTAAGAAATCTTTGTTAGAACTACAATCTAAATATGACCGACAGCTTTGGTGCAGTTACAACTTTGATGCAAATGAATTATCATTGAAATAGGTTGATTTAGTAAACATAATCATATGAGTAAACCACGGTGTTATTGCAAAAAACCATGACAAGGGTATCAGACCTATATTAATCTAAGAGACGACAAAAAACGAATCATCATACAACAAATTTTAAAATCCTGCGGCACAGGATCCTGTTGTTTTCCTACTCTACCTCTCCCAAACCCCTCTCTCCTTCTCCTCTCTTCAGGTTTATTCTTCAATTTTTTTAAAAATTAGATAGCAGATATATTTTCTTTTAAATGAAGTAATGGCATTATACATTGTTTGTTATCGTATGTATGTTGTGTATAGTGTTTGCTGACTGGGTATATGCTATATATTTTGAGGCTCACGACGTCTCGTCCCATGGGTGGAGTTGTAGGCTGAGTATGTGTTCAAATCTCCTTACTTCGTATGGTGAAACACTGAAAGGTTTGCCTTAGCCTTTGGGTCGAGTGTTTGCCCACCGGGGATCCAAATATATGATTATCATGGACATTACTTTGACACATAAACTAATCAAACGACTTTAATGATTCCAGAAAATTTTACTAACTGCATTTAGCTAGTTTATAGTAAATACACACGATCGCAGAATAGAGGAGCACAATTGGGTTCCTTGTTCTGCGACTGTGTTTCCTCGGTGGGCCGACAGGTTTTTGTTGTGTAGTAGTGCTGGGGAAAAAAACGCTTTAACTATCAATGAGTCAATGAGAGTACAAATTTTTAAATTCTTGACCTTAGTGCCACAGTTTCTGTGGTAAAAACAAATTTATAGTTAAACGTGATATATTGTAGAAGGGCATGATTTACTCACATCACTAAGCATCTGGATGGATAATTAGCACACAAAGATAAACTGACCTTTAAACATGACCACCAGCTATACCACGTAACCATAGCTCCGAAATAAATAAATTGCTCTACATAGAAACATCTGGCCTGATCCCATCACATTGTGGTCCCCAGGGGTTCGGTAAAGCCCTTACAGGCAACTGGGTCCTTTTACCAGCCACAATAAAATTGATCATGCCAGTACTGTCATAAACTGTAACCAACTATTTAAAAATTAGATATCTTTTGCTAAATTTTAAATTTTAAGTCATAGAGCAATCTTCTCAATTTTAAAATTTTTAAGAATTATATTTTACCCTAACTATGATGTGGTGGCATTTCATACTTAACTAAATTTCAACTTTGAAAGTAAATAGATTATTAGTGACAACAAAATTATAGTTTAAGACATCCATTCTGCATTGTGTTTCCAATATTAGAATTTATGATATGTATTGATTGAATAATTGGTAATAAATTTAACTTTTGTTTTATTAACTTTTGTTTTATTATTTGGCAAAAGGAGCCAGTTGCCTGCAAGAGCTTTACTAGCACCCGATTTACCACTTTTGGAGCACAAACTCAAACCTAAAACCGGCCAAGCACAAAAGTATGTTATCGCCACGATTGGGTGGATTGATTCCCAAAATATTTATCAGCACGCGGCACTAATAATATGAAGTTCATTATCGAATTTTAGATATGCCATCGATCGTTTAACACATATATAAAAGGTTATTAAAGAATAATTAATGTTTGGTTGTTGGTATATATCGATATTAATCAATTATTTAAAATAGTATTTGTGTTTGTTATTATTAACTATTGAGTTACGTTCGATTTAAATATTAAAACACTACTACAATACATTTCACAAAACAAAACGACGGGGACACAGAAAGGAGAAGGACAACACATCACACGGACGGAAACTGCTGCTGTTGATGAGTATCTGATTATATTAATTATGGATCTCTTGTTCATTAAAATAGGTGTGATCATACTTCTAGAGTATATTGGGCTGGCACAGTTGCTGCAAGGTTAACATTGGGGTCCAAAACCGGGAGTGTGATACAACTTATTTTCGCGTTACGTAGTAAGAGATACAAAATATAAAATATAAGATATAAATGACTGCAAGTTTACGGATATAGCGCGGCGCCATTTCATTATTCTGGCGCGGTAAATCACGCTGGGTAATGAAATGATAAAGTTATACAATGTTTAAGTTTTGCGCGCTATACCTTGATTGACAATGTCAATCCGTCCAGATCGTTGCTCTGCGAAGCAGAGCAACGATCGACGACGACGACGACGACGACGATGACGCGCATCGAAGATGCGAAGCAAGAATGCTAGTTCGCGCGGCGCGTCGAAGCGGCGAAGTCCTCCAACACTATACCAAAAATTCAGTCCCATATCTCTTCATTAAGCCGTTCGAAAAACAAGTGCGAATATAATAATTTAATATAAAATCAAAATGCACGGTCTACCTCGAATAAAAGTGTTTTTCGTGATTTTCTTTTTAGTTTTACTTATTTTTACATGGCACGCCAGTCACTAGCGCTTTGCACGGCGCTTTTTTCAAGCTTCATGAACGTCGCGTAACAGGAAGAAAAATACGTGAGAGGAGCAAACAAGGAACTATCAAGCTAGGTAATGTCAAAGCACAATCCCAAACTTTTCAATTGTTAATGAAATGCAGACCCAGCCGCTTGCCTCTTTAGTAAAACAAAGTATTTTTAGTAAAACAAAGTATTTTATTTATTAGCAGTGCAATCGATTCATATGATATAATTATAAGAATATAATAGTATGTCACACCTATTTAACTGTTACGTTCGAGTAGTCGTGCCATGGCTAAATTTAACTAGGACCAGTGGTGTCGATTAACATTTTAAAAGGTGATTCTAAGTGACACAAATGGAAAATTTTAAGAAAAGACGGATCAAAACACAGATCCAAGGACAAGGAGACCCCACTGCAGGACCATACATGCTATTGGCTTGTGCATGGCCCAAAAGGTTCCAGTTGTCCAGGAAACTGTACGTAGCTGGTCAACTAGTTTTGAATTCAGACTAGGCTTGATGAGTTCTGGGGTTTCTAGAGTAGGATTTGATGGTGCCAGGTTTGTTCAGGCGGACATGGAAATTATGCGAGGAATATATAGGTATATAAAAATCATATCAATATAAAAATAGATCCAAAAATAGATCCAAAGATTCACACGGCAGTCAGGGAACTTCCAGACAGGATGCTTTTGAAACAGGTATAATTAGCGCTTTTGTAATTAGTTGTATGCAAGGGATGGGATGCTGATTGACTAAGCTGGTTCAATGCCCCAGCTATTTAGGGGGAGCCACTCAATTTCACGCCCAGGTGTTGTCAATTGCTGGGTTTCAAGTAAGAGCTTTTTGATACGGCTCTTGATAATTGAGATGGGGGAAGAAAGGTCGGAAAATTTACTAGAGCCAGGGACCATGACATTGTTTTCTGGTGGAGATCAAAAGGAAGCAGCGTGCGCTACTTCGAAGAAATTTAGACGAGTATAATTTGCAAATCCCAAACTGTATGCATTGCAATTTTTGTAGGTTTATAACCTACAAAAACGCGTGGCGGACTCGTCGACGGTCTTGGAACAAATATTTTACCAGTATCACCCGTCAAGGACGTTGTCGCCTCGTACGCTGCGCACATTCATGTGCAATTAGGAAACACTTTATTGTCGTTTATAAGCATTGATAACAAGCATTGAATATGTTACACAATGGACCATCGCGTATTTTGCCAAAAATTTTTAAATCGAGCGCTATCGATCGTACAATTTTTATGAAAATATTCACACAACGGTTGTTATATGTTTCATAGTATAGTACCTGGTACTCAGGGGTCGCTCACATATTACGTAATCAGCCGAGGGGAGGAAGGTTTCCAAATGATAACGATAGTGTAATTTTGACACAATAGCTTTGTGTAAAACTGATTACGGAGGGGAAGGGGGGTTAAAAATTGTCCAAAAACTGATTACGTATTATGTGAACGACCCCTAATAGCTTGATTTTGGAGTCGCTTGTACCTAACAGGAACTCCTTTTTTCGGCGTGTGGTAACCCTGCAATGTGCTTTGTCTGTTTTCTTTTCCTCTGTAGTATATATAAAAGATGTTGTTGACACTGTACTTGACCTCACAAAATCGACAATCTTTGCACAAGTACTACTACAAGATTGCTTCCCAGGAGCTATTTAAGATTACTTTGATTTGTGTCCAGTCAAACAGTTGTGATTTGAGATTGCATGAAAATTAAGTCACATAGTAAACGCTGTTATCTCAAATTATAGTCATTCATTACTTAAATTTATCATTATTTGTTTTCACCATTATATAAATCTTAAATGAAGTTGTTTATATAATTACCAGTTTTTAGCATTACTCTTATTTAAGATATAGAGGTGGTGTTTTGGGTTAAGCTACATAAACCAAGTTATAATACTTGTAATATTATAAAGTTAACTGTTGTTCTGATAACACCATTCTCTCAGATTTAGAGTTTTATATCATGAAATTGGGACACAATGCCAAGTTACTACTATGTTTTATAGGTAAGATGGTGATATATTTAATTCAATCGACCATTACTTATGTTAAAATATGTTCAGTAAATCAGTATCTGTGTCCATGTTAAGATTCCATCTATCTAACCAATTGAGCGCTTTAATGGCTTACTCAAACAGATGACATTACTTCATAACAAAAATTCCCTGAAATTAGATAGTTCAGTTTAAAACTTACTTTTCAGGAATATTCTGTTGCTACTTCTACTACGGCATAGTCCAAGAGAAAATAACAAGAGGGACATATGGGGCTGAAAATGAGAGATATTTCTACACCATGTTTCTTGTGTTTTGCCAGTGCATCATCAATGCTATGTTCGCCAAAGGTGTGGTACTACTTAATCATGTCTAAAATAACATGTGACTATTATAATTGGCCATTATTTCAGAAGCCAAAAAGTGATCATCTAACTAAAAAATGGTCTTAAATTTGTTCCTACTAGATCATTAACACTTCATTTCATTGTGTCTATAAATTCATATTTAATTACAGGAATACTTCTGGTGACAGACTCGCCTCCGGACAAGACACCAGCATACCTGAGTTTTATCTGCGGAGTTACTTACGTTGGAGCCATGTTGGCTTCCAATGCCTCCCTTAAATGGGTCAACTATCCGACTCAAGTGTTGGGAAAGAGTTGTAAACCCATTCCCGTGATGCTGCTTGGAGTGATATTAGCTGGTACGTTTAAACAAAGCAGATGTCTGGTTTTATGATGTAAAATATGAACAGGAGAAGCTCCTTGTATCAGAATTGTGAGTTAATTGAAAATGACATAACATTAATGTTAAGTGACGATAACTTTGGTTTATTTTCAAATTACCTCAGGAAAAAGGTATAATATTGTCAAGTACCTGTCGGTGATGTTGATAGTAGTTGGAGTTGCTCTGTTCATGTATAAAGACGGTAAATCTGACGGTTCTGGATTTACGGTTGGTTCTGGTGAAATGTTACTTCTCACATCCTTGACACTTGGTGGGTACACGACAAATATAACTAACTTCTTATCGTATCAGTTAGCTTTTTGATTTATGTGATTGACTTAACATTTTGATCAAATCAGTATAATCTGCACAGATTGCCGTCGTTATACTTATAATTAAACTGATTTGATTAAAATTTTAAATACTTTGACCATAAAATACTTGGCCAAGCAGTACAGACTTCTCATCGCTGACAATATAGCCTGCTCCTTGCATGGCTATTTTTCCATGTCGTACTCACGAATTTCCACTAATTAATATTCACTTACAGACGGTCTAACTGGTGTGGCTCAAGAGAAAATGAGAGGACACGGAATGAAAGCTCACTACATGATGTTAATGATGAACCTGTCAGCATTGGTAAGATATTTCAAACTTTATATAAATCCTAGCTGTGAGTGTTATCTCTGAACATAGGTTGATTAATTGCTGTCACGTGTCCACAAATTAACTTCCCGTGGCTATTTAAGTTTACAAATAAGAGAGATGTATATTGTATAATCAATTATGAAGTTATGACAATATATTTCAGGTTGTCATGACGATATCTCTGTTGGCCACTGGAGAGATCTGGGAAGCCCTCACATTCTGCACAAAACACCCCGAAGTCGTTCCCGAAATCATCACTTTCGGATTTGCCAGTGCTCTCGGTCAAAACTTCATCTTCATCACCGTGTCTGAGTTCGGGCCCCTGATGTGCTCCATCATGACCACTACCCGGAAGTTCTTCACAATCCTGGGATCTGTCGTTTTGTTTGGTAATGCACTGGCCACCCGTCAGTGGATAGGTACTGCTGTTGTCTTTGCGGGACTAGTCCTGAACGATAGGTTTGGTAAAACTGTCAAGGTTGAGAAACTCTGAAAGATTTAATTTAGGTGTTAAATGGGTTTAAATTTTCTGTCTCCACAGGACTGATATAACTCTCGTTTATTCATAAAAAATTGCAACCAGTTAGCTGTATTTAACTTTTAAATTCCCTTAAATTTCATCTTAACATTAACAATAGTTTTTGCTGACAGTTTCTGATAATCATATTTTATCTATTCATAACGTTATTTGATTATTAATTATATTGAAGTTAGTTTAATAACATTTAAGTTAGTTTCAGATGTCTTTTGTTGTACCTTTTAAGTTTTAGCTCAATCGGTCTGTTTTAGGGATTTAATATTTAACTATTCAAAATTTCACCTTGGACCCCCTAGACTTTTTAGTTATATTCTCAACGGGATTCAAAATATTTATTTAGAGTTGATGTTAATACATTTATTTTTCAAGAACATGCTACATAACCGACTACGTAAAATGATGATTTGGGTAACCGATATAGTAAGTATTTGTGGATGTTAGTATACGTATGACCAACTAAGCTCTTAATTTTTAGTTCATGTTTTTATTTCGCTGATTAATGATCAGAATCGAGTTTTACTGACCACATAAAGTTGGCAATATTCTAGATTAATCAAAGCTTTGGTTATTTTGCACGATTCATTCTATTATGTGAAAGCTCTAAATTTTCGTTCCTGAATTGTTTAATTCATCTTCCTACAGACTCTAAACCATCTAAAATATCCATTGTTTATACAATATCCCACCCTGTAGCAGAAATGTCGAAGGGTTCAGTATCCCCCCAAGCTCGAGATCGCCTGGCTCCAAAACTCCGAGAAAAGAGCAACAAGTTAAAACAACTGGACTTGTTCTACAAAGATCCATTAGAAGATGGTCACGGAGGCAGATCTGAGCAGAAACCTGAGGACTGTGTGCCCGACCTGCCGGAGAACAGCGAGGTGAAGAACGTGTACAAGTTGTTTATAAACATACAAGTGTACAAGTTGTTTATAAACATACAAGTGTACAAGTTGTTTATAAACATACAAGTGTACAAGTTGTTTTAAATACGTCTTTTGATTAATTTTATATTTGTGGCTATGCTGGTACTATTATTTCGAGTAAAATGTTTTCGAGGGAATAAGTTATGGGCACAGAAAATTGATGTTTGTTATTGGTTGCAGGTGCGAGAATTTCTGAAGTCTGCTCCAACAAAAGGGCTGTGGATGCCACTAGGGAAGGAGGTAAAAGTGATGCAATGTTGGCGATGCAAACAGTATGGTCACCGAACAGGAGATAAAGAGTGTACTTTAGCCTCTAAAGGGAACCTTCAGAACGAACAGTTTCGTAAGATGCACGAGGATCCAATGTATCACATGATGCGGCAGAAGGTATGAAATTGCTTTGAGTTAGAGATCCTTCGTTGGTCTACGTGTAATTGCTAGTTTTAGAAGTGTCGTTTAAAATTGTATCGACCGATTTGCCCATCAGTAATGAACGATCAGTATTCTTTGATTCAGCTTGCACATTTATTTTTGAAAATCCAATCAAGCAATAAAAATTGATGTTATAACAATTATCAATTAATAATTAAATAATTAAAATAATTCCTCAGCACGATGACCAGGATGAGGAGGCACACCAAAAAGAGTTGAGGATAGCTCAGATGAAAGCAATGTTGGAGGAAGATACTAGTGGTGGCAGTGATGAAGACTCCGAAAAGAAAAAGAAGAAGAAGAAAAAGAAGAGCAAGAAGAAGAAAAGGAAAAAGTCAGATCAATCCACGGAGGAGAAAGATACAGATCATGGTAAAAAGAGGAGTTCAGAAAAGAAAAATAAAAAGAAGAAAAAAAGGAGACTCCATCCGTCGGACAGTGAGGATTCAAAAGATTGATCATGAGTTTCTGAGTTTCTGAACTACGATTTAATCTTAAAATACTGAAAAAGTATTTCAATAAAGTACAGTCAACTAGAATGTTATCGGGATTACAAGAGTACACTATGATATGGATATAAAGGTATTAACTCTTGAATTAAACAGTTTATTTTGCTACAAAATCTCAAACAGGCTACTGTTTTTTGACACAACTACGACGGAATTACAGTTTGACAAATATTATTTGACTTTAACGTCTACCACAGCATATATTCATATTTATTGTGAGTTTTAAAGTGCGAACTGATTTTATAATGTTAAGAAGATACGAACAGATGTAATTTTCTGTGTTTTATTGAAGGCAAAAATTAGAAGTCATATCATTACTTTTTGAGTGCATAATCACGATACCATGCTTTATATCCCGGACCGTTATTATAATATGATCTACAGATAGCATGCTGTAGACAACAAGTTATTAAGAAACACAAAGCACAATGAAGAAGCCCAAAAGATGTCTCAAACTAAACAGCCTTCCCTTCGACATCATCTCCCATCCGACCCAGGACCTCACAGCAGTCAGCACCATCGAGGGTGAGATCGTCTTCCTCTCCCTGCAAGATGATATCTCCAAAATAGATACTGTTCTACAGCACGCGGACTCTTGTCGGCGTATTTTGTTTTCAGGCACTTCACTCCTGTCCATTTCAAGTGACAAATCATTTTGTGTGTGTGATATTGAGACTAGGAAAGTACAGCATAGGTATCAAAATGCTCACGATAATCCGCTGTATGCACTGTGTGAAGTCAGGGATGGGAAGGTATTCGCTACTGGGGATGATGAAGGGGTAAGTTTGTTTTTACTTTCTTTAGTTTTTAAGCTCAATTATTACTATTGAAGGTTTTTGTCAGTAATTCTGAATATCTTGCTGATTCTCATCAAAATATCATTCAATCTTTGCTAATTATAGCCTTGTGCATTTAACAAACTTTATCTAATGCTTTTCCAATTTACAGGTTATAAAATTGTGGGATCTGAGAAAAGAAGAACCCATCGTGATGATACAACCAGAGCACGACAACTTCATCTCCTCCTTCTCAGTCGACTCCACAGGATCCACCCTGGTAGCTGCATCTGGAGATGGCCGCCTCTCTGTCTGGAACTCACGACAACGCAAACTCATAGCACGTTCTGACGAGTGTGACAGTGAGCTGTTAACATGTGACGTGGTGCGTACCAACAGTAAAGTTGTGTGTGGGGACGGAGAGGGGGTGTTGAACATATTTACGTGGGACAACTGGGGGGATATATCAGACAGGATATCCGTTCAGGAGGAAGTGAGCGTGGATACTGTGTTGTGTTATTCTGAGGATATTCTAGTTTTAGGATGTATGGACGGTGTTATCCGAGCTACCTCCCTCTTTCCTCACAAACCCCTGACCCACATTGGGGATCACTCTGATAACTCTATAGAGGCCTTGTGTTTGTCGCATGATGAAGAGGAGATCTTGTCAATAGGACATGATTATTTTGTTCGGGCGTGGTCCGTTGAGAAACTGGATGAGGATATTAAGAAACTTTCTGTTGAGGACAGTGATAAGGATAGTGGTGATTCAGAGGATAATGATGATGATGAGTCAGATTCGTCAGAAGATGAGCAACCTAAGAAAAAGAAATTAAAACATATTAGTTCGAAGGAAATTAAGTCGAACGAGACTGCTGATTTTTTCAGCGACTTAGCTTAGCTTACTTTTGTAGAACGTTTTAAGAGAATATTGACTACCGGTTTACTTTTTATTTAACTTATTTCTTTTTCCCGTATAATTGACTATAGTATGGTATTTTTACTGCCTAATTAACTGTTCTCAATCAATTTGATTTTATATACTGTATATTGAACGAATAGTTAACAACATTCAGCACAGTTAATTTCCATCTTTATAGTTAGCTGAAACAATGGTTATCTCAATCGGTTTGGAAGGAAGTGCAAACAAGATAGGAGTAGGGATAGTGCGGGATGGTGAAGTATTGTCCAACCCCCGACGCACCTACTGTGCTCCCACGGGTCACGGTTTCTTACCACGTCACACCGCGCAACATCACCGAGACAATATCCTCAAACTAGTCAAACAGGCTATCGATGTAAGTTGCTGTTTTAAAACTTAACATACTCAATCTCTGGACTTTCACCGAGCCATACTGAAACTTTTTGTGTAGTTTTGTATGGAAAAACGTGCAGCTTAACAACGTATCCTCTTCTTTTCAGGAAGCAGGTGTATCAATACCAGATATAGACTGTGTGAGTTATACTAAAGGACCGGGGATGGGAGCGCCGCTAGTCAGCACTGCAATTGTAGCGCGCACTCTGGCGCAACTCTGGAACATTCCTCTCATGCCTGTTAACCATTGTATCGCTCATGTTGAGATGGGGAGACAGGTCTGTATTACATGTTGTTGTGAATTTAATCTTCATTTTCTTCAGAATGATAGTTCTCGTGTTTTGGTGAAAACAAATTTCAATCCATTTCTCAGTTGATTGAGTTGCAGCCTTGAATTATTTGTTTAAATCTACAAATAAATAAAAAGATATTTTACATACTTCTGCACATGGATAAGGAAATCTATGACAGTGTAAATTATTCCGGTATCAAAATAATAAATGTTTAAAATTGATTATAATGCAGATTGATGTGTAATAAGAAGGGTAATCAATACAATATAATCATCTGAGGTATACTGAATACAATATAATCATGTGAAATGTATACTGACCAGGTAACAGGTGCAGATAACCCCACAGTACTCTACGTGTCGGGAGGCAATACACAGGTTATCAGTTACATGAATCAGAGATACATGATATTCGGTGAAACCCTGGATATAGCTGTCGGCAATGCTCTGGACAGGTTTAGTTTAAACGTTTAATCTAATTTTAAAGATGTAAATCTCCGCTTTGTATTTCGTAAAACTAGTTTTTGTTAGCCAAACTTTGTATCTTTGTATTCTAACATTGGATTCTGGCCGTACTTAATCCAAATAAGACGCTTTCATGCAGGTTTGCCAGAGTGTTGAAGTTGAGTAACGACCCCTGTCCTGGATACAACATTGAGCAGCTTGCTAAACAGGGAAAAAAGTTTATTGAGCTACCTTACTGTGTCAAAGGAATGGATGTCAGCTTTTCTGGTTTGTCAAGATGTTTATTCGTTTATTTGATCAATTATAGATATAACTCGGATATTGTTGCATGTAATATCTTATTTCATTACAATATACATCCCATTCTCGACATTCAATTGGCGTCTTTAATTAAGAATTTGCTGCTCATGACAAAAGTGGTGACCCTGAGCCGCTGTCACCCTGCTATTTTCCAGGACTGTTATCGCACATTGAAGGGACTGCTGTAAAGATGCTTGCGGCAGGAGACTGCACTAAAGCTGATCTTTGTTATTCTTTACAGGTTTAGCCATAACAAAATCATCTGTGCGTAAAATTAACATGAGTTCACTTATTAAACGACACCAGTTCAAACTTTCAGTTTTGTGGAAACTTGGCCGGATAATGCATTTATCTGTTGATTAAACAGTAATAATACTTTTATTTCCAGGAAACAGTGTTCGCGATGCTGGTGGAGATAACCGAACGAGCGATGGCACATACCAGGTCAAAACAAGTTCTAGTTGTGGGTGGAGTTGGCTGTAACTTGAGGCTCCAGGAAATGCTCGCTGTCATGGCACAAGAGCGAGGTTTGTTAGATTGATATCAAGTCTCTGGTAATATTCGGGTTATGTTATGTACGACAATAGCAAATATTTCATCCAAAAGATCTTTATCATTGCTCATAAAATACTTGTAACCTTTATCTGTCTTGACTAAGTATTTATACCACTATTCCTTCCTTTTAGGTGCCAGTCTATGTTCGACAGACGACAGATATTGTATCGATAATGGCGCAATGATAGCACACACAGGAAACTTAATGTTTGTTCACAACATGGATACTTCAATAGAGAAGTCAGGGATAACTCAGAGATTCAGGACTGATGAAGTTCATATTGCGTGGAGGGATTAATAAAAGGTTTGTTCTGATAACCACTTTGAAAGACGTACACAACACTTTTGAAATTGACTCGTCGTAATGGTACTGCTTATAAAGACTGTTTAGGTAGATCGCCTTGTAAATCAGTCATGTAAAGTAATGGCGCGCGTATTGTTAGCGCTTTGCACAACTTGTTTCCCCCGTATTTCGCGCTATTATGGTTTATTTATTGAACTATCCAACGTGTCCTGATAGGATTGATTGGGTCTATTTTGATTGACCTGTTTGTCTCCATGTTAATCAGTTCGTTGTGAAACATGGATCAGCCAGGCTTGACATCACACAAATATGGGCGTTCAACGGATCACATCACTTCCTAGGTTTGGCACCGCATCCAGAGGATCAAATCACGATTCTTACTCATTCGATCGCATGCTCACACAGATACCAAATTTTTGCTTGTTGACACCACTTTTCAACCATGTATATATGTCCCTAAACGTCATTCACCATATACATTCGTTTCATCTACTCATCTTTCAACTAAACAACTGAAACCTCAACCATGAAGCTCAAACTGCAACTACCCAAAATTTTCCGCAGGAAGAAGACCACTATGAGGAAACACGAGAGTCAGCCAGTCCTTTCCACTCAGAAAACTACCGTTATACCACTTCGCAGGAGTCGCTCCTCTGGTTCCATGGACTTCGCCACAGCACCTAGAGTCAAATCCTTCACTACCAACAATGGTGTCTCACTAGAACCTTTCATTCTCCCTCCCTCCACCCCCATTAGATTGACTCTTCTTCCCACTACACTTGTTCGGGCAAACTACAGACAATCCTTCACTTCTGTCACACGGAAACGGATAACACGTGGATGTCAAAGCTTTGTGAGGAAAATGTACCACCCAAGATCATTACCAAACCCTCCGAAAAGACATAGTGACACTACACTGATGAACGGAACATTTAGACGCAGTTTGCCTGAGCTCAGCAGCAACTCTGTTATGATGTAATTTTATTGAATAATTTATTGATGTATTTAATTTTATTCTTACAAATTTCCGTAAATACTTGTTTTAATGGTGAACAAATAAAAGACAATTTTTGGATAAAATTAAAAACATTATAAATTATATTCAGCTTGCAACAGCCCTTGCTTTGGCCCTCTTTAACAGAGCGAGTGTGGCAGCACGTTTGGCAATCTTGGCGTAAGGATTCAGTCTGATCATAACGTTGATGTTCTTCAGAGGATTCTTCTTGATAGCGGGTCTCCTTTGGTTCCTGAAAATCAGAATGATTAGCTTCTTCGAACGAAAGATCTTGTATATAAGAAAATATTTTCTTTTGTATGAAATAACGGAAAGAAAAATAACGATGATTAGCTTCTTTGAATGAAAGAAAATAAGATTATCAATTCTATCTGAGCTCTCATTTGAGTTTAAGCTCAAGTGTTCTATCCATGGTATAAATAAAATCAGAATATGAAGGTGGGTATTGTTGGACTTCGTCGAAAATGATTTAATTCTTCTCACGTTCGGTCAAAATCCATCTGTGCGCGGCATCGAAATTTTGTAAGAAAAGTGTTTGCTCTCTAGTGGTTCGAATAACATAAGACAATTCGCGCGCTCCGTGATTATATGCTGTAGACCCTATCGTATCTAAAATTCCGCACCACAGGAATCTCATGTATTTTTCATGTAATACGATGTATTTAAATTTAACTGGGTGCTGGACTTAAACAAGACACCCAGTGTATGGTTCACTGACAAAAATACAGTCAATGAACCATATATATCAATGGGGAAGTTCCCTTCGGTTAATCTTTGCCAGTTATGGTCGTTCTTCTTGGATAATAGCTTTCTATATTTTCATAACACTGAACATTAGAAGTGAGCAGATTTGTGAACGTGACCACGGTATAGTATTAGAAAAATAAACTACGAAGTTTGCGTGCGATATGATCGGCATAAAAATCCGTTATTACAGAGAACCATTTCTTGGTAAAAAATAGGATATTAAACCGTCCTTCTTGCAGCGATAGAAGTAGATATTGTAGCTACCAAAAATAAACTGCCTACTTTTTGACAGCTACAATTATAATTGCCGGCCAAAAACCGGTGGTCAACAGCCGAAAAAGAGTGGATCCTATGACTTTGATGGCAGGCGTGTTAAGCTAGGAGACAAGCTGAAGGAGACCAGCTAACAAATTTAAGCTAGAATTGTGGAGGCGTCTAAAGGAGTGACCCTAAATAATGATACATAAGTGGATGGACCCTGCACATACGATAACTTTTACTCCCTAATCCATTATATAATTTTATAGGAGAAGAAACACGACGCACTCTTATAACTTTTATATCATGTGTTCAACAAAGGAAAAGAGAAACTGTAACATTGATGATTCTATTACTTGCCCAGTCACACGCAGGATTATCATATACATTTTTCATTTTCATTCAATTTACTTGATCGTTCCACCTTAGCAATTGGGATATGGTCCTTTGTTTATATTTTCAGTATTTGTAGTCGTTCAATCCATACAGTAAATTTGTGGGATCAAGTTGATATTAGGATTTTTACTCAAATAACTAAAACTAATCTCGATTTGAAGCAACAACTTTTTTATCAACTTCTTTTTTGGGGATTCGTCAGATAGTCAGCTACTCTTCGTCCACCTCCATAGTGATAGTAGAATCAGAGTCTATAGTAGACATTCCGTTCACTTCGTACGTGCACCTCTGTGTTTTGTGTCTCCACACTTGCTCGTACGGTATCTCCATCTGGTACATCTCTTGGAAGGCTTTACAAGTCACCTTCTTGCCAGCAGCAGCTACACAGGGGAAGTTGAAGGACACAGATTTAGTGACTGTATTTGACTTAGTGAAGCTGTTTGTGTCTGACCGGGACCGGGACACTGAGATAGAACCACTAGCGAACTTAGGGATATTCGCAGTGAATGTCACCCCAGAGGAAACGGTCATTCCTTGTTCGTGCTCGAAGGAGAGTGTATCTGAGATGGTAGTTGCCAGATTGATGGAGGAGGTTTGAGAGGAACTGCTGTCTCTAGCATCCACCGTGATCTCTCCAGCTTTAATCGTGCTTGTCGGGTGCACGATACCTTTATCAGTCTTGTAGTCCATCTTTTCAAGGATCCAGTTATCAGAACCAACAGGGAGGTAGCGATAACATCTGTTCTCACACAACTTCAGTTTACCGTTGTGCGCAGACAGAGGAGTCTCCTCCTTGTTTTCCATGTAAGACCAAATATCAGGCATATTCCTGATACTCCTGGTCACGTAGACGTAGTCCACTACGAGTTCATCAGATCCTTCAGTCTCCAGGGTCACGCAGAGTATCATGCCGATATCTTCGTATCTAAAGAACGAATGTTCGTCGACGCTTCCAGGTTCGAAGTCATCGTACCAGTCATTGTCGAGGAGGTAGGGCGCGGTGATGCCTCGGGTACCATGTATGGTTATGTAAACTTCGTCGTTGGTTCCGGCGTAAGTTTCATCTTTGGTCTTGATCTCAACTTTGTAATCCATTGAGGAGCACAGAGGTAGAAGAAGTAGTAAGAGGATCATGTTGAAACTCGGATTGAACTTAACAATGAAAGTTTTAATTTTGTTGTTTAGAGTTTGGAACTTTATAGGTGGAATAAAATGGGCGTAGTTATTTGTGGATGGTAAGTTTTGACAGGTTGTCCAGATGTTCTTTGTTCAACTTCTGTGAAGTTTTCGAAGCCACCGACGATTTTCTTTCAGCCATGAATGTGGCAAATTTGTCACTTTGTCGGAATCTAATGAAGACACAGCTGTTTCTCTGGATCTTGTTTCAAGGCCTCATCTTATAGTTGAAGAAAAAAGTTTTCGTGTACCGTTCGAATATAACGCATTCGCCTAATAAATTATGTTCATCGTAAATGATGTAAAAGATGCAAGCGACTTTTTACTTTAAAATGAAAGCACATTCCTTTCTTCATGTTCAGAATAATATTAAACAATATTAAAGGTCGGACTTACCAAGCACCGTAATAAATACGTAGTTTTTTTGTATTAAATTGTTGCAAGACGTTAGCAGTCATAGCTATTATGCAATCAACTAAAAAGCGAGAAAATGACAAATCTGGATGGAACTCATTTTATATTAGAAATTGTCATCGGTCATTAATTTCGATTTCTTCTTCAGTGAGCGGATCCGTCTTATAGTCAGGGTTAGTCAGTTACTCTTCGTGCACCTCCATAGTGATGGTAGAATCAGAGTCAACAGTAGACATGCCGCTCACTTCGTATGTGCACCTCTGTGTTTTGTGCTTCCAAACTTGTTGGTACGGTATCTCCATTTGGTACTTTTCCTGGTAAGCTTTACAAGTCACTTTCTTACCGGCTGCAGCTACACAAGGGAAGTTGAAGGAGACAGATTTAGTGACTGTATTTGACTTTGTGAAGCTGTTTGTCTCGGACTTGCTTTGTGAGATTGATATAGTCCCACTCACGATATTGGGGATATTCGCCTCAAAGTTTACCTCTGAGGACACAGTGATTCCTTGTTCGTGCTCGAAGGAGAGTGTATCTGAGATGGTAGTTGCCAGATTGATGGAGGAGGTTTGAGAGGAACTGCTGTCTCTAGCATCCACCGTGATCTCTCCAGCTTTAATCGTGCTTGTCGGGTGCACGATACCTTTATCAGTCTTGTAGTCCATCTTTTCAAGGATCCAGTTATCAGAACCAACAGGGAGGTAGCGATAACATCTGTTCTCACACAACTTCAGTTTACCGCTGTCCTCTGGATCTTTGGAGAGAACGGTCTCTTCCTTGTTCTTCATGAAGAACCAAATATCGGGCTTGGTCCAAAGGCTACTTGTCACGTAGACGTAGTCCACTATGTAGTCGTCAGTTCCATCAGTTTTCAGGGTAATACACAGTATTTTACCAACATCCTCGTATCTAAAGAACGAGTGTTGGTCAATGTTCCCAGGCTCAAAGTCATCGTACCAGTCAAGGTCAAGTTCGTAGGGAGAGGTGCTTCCTAGGGTCGGGTACCATGTATGGTTATGTCAATTCTGTCGTTGGTTCCAGCGAGAGTTTCATCTTTGGTCTTGATCTGAACTTTGTAATCCATTGAGGAGCACAGAGGTAGAAGAAGTAGTAGGAGGATCATTTTGAAACTCGGATAACTTGACTGAGACAATTTATGATGACGCTGCATTGAGTTCGAACTTTAATAGAGGATAAAATGGGCAGAGTTATTAGAATATGGCAACTTTGTCATGTTGTAAAGATGTTCTTTGTTGGTCAACTGGTATGAACTGTTCAAAGTCACCGACGATTCTTTTTAGGTCATTAATGTGACATATTTGTCACTTCGTTGGAATCTAATGAAGATGCAGCTGTTTTGTCGGATATTGTTTCCAGACACATCCTGGAATTTTGAAAGAGGGCTTTTTTACGCAATGCATTCGTCTATGTTAATACTGTTGACCGTAGATGATAATTATCTTGGCACTGACAAAGTGGCTTTTTAAATGGAAGCACAGAACTAGAACCATTTTTGGGATTTTCGATAGTTCAGATCTACCAACCCCTGCGCCGATACCTTGAAGACCCCTTGTCAGATTGATGTCACCACCATGAAAAGATCGGTTCTGTGCAGTCTTCAGAGTCTCACGCATTATTTTATCAAAGAACTTGTGTTCTTCAATCATAATCCTCTTACTACAATGGTAAGAGAAGTTGTTAAGGCATCATGTAGGAACTCTAATTAAACTCCACAATGAAGGTTTCTGAAGCAGCCATTTAGAGTTAGAAACTTCAATAGGTAGAATAAGATGGGCGTTGTTATAAGTAGGTGGCAAGTTTTCAGGTTGTCAAATAGTTCTTTGTTCAACTCCTGTGTCAGGAAGTCAAAGGTTTGTCGTTTCGTCCATCAACAGCTGTTTCCCTGGATACTGTTTCCGGAAATAATCTTATAACTTAGAGCAATTAATTTTGACAAAACTTCTCTATTTTTCATTTCTCTCTGAGTAGAGCAGAGTAAGGAAAGGGAATAGCAGTGTTAAGTGTTTACAGTACACTACAATGTAGATGTACTGAAGGGGTACCCTAGTAAGAATTAGATTACCAGATGAATAGACGAGACTGAAAAACTGACACTAGCTTTATAACAGGGTTAGTAATTTGGTAGCAGAATTATTTAACGATGATAGGCTGTAAGCGCAGATATATCACATGGAATGACATGGAAAAAAGTAACATGTTTAGTGGAACAGTAGTTGTTAAAGCAGATGCGTCTCTTACTCATATCAGCGGGAGAATCCCAACTGATCATGATGGCTGTGTATTTCAGAAAATATCAGACAAATTCGCCCATTCTCATTTACAGCTTCTTTACGGATATAACAACAATACTATGTATACGGAACTCATGATGTAAGGAGATTATCTTATGTTACAAAAAACGAATGCTCATTTCACTAAATTGATTGGCGGATGGAGCACCATGCAGATGGGGGGAATGCAACGTCAATTAATGTCAATTAATGTCAATTAATGTCAATTAATGTCAATTAATGTCAATGTCAGTTTTGCAAAATTTTGGAATACTGACATTAATTGACACGATATTTTTCGACCAGAGATTATGTAGTTCTACCATATTTTTAGCACTTTAGAACGTTTATATCATCAATTTATTCACTACTATCACATATGGAAATGTGAAATGTGAAAAAAATTCAGATCATTAAACAATAAAACTAAAATAATACGGTTTTCCGAAATTTAATTTTCTTAAATGGGCGTGGCCATCCAAGGGCGTGGTTCTCAACATCATCAGAACTTAAAACCCACATTAAACGAAATGCCTTGATGACATTTATGTTTGAATAACGAATCTTAAACAGCTAACATTACTCCTTCATACTAAAAAAGCCGATTCTAGATATTTTACCTGTATAAGAAACCAATAAAATATGGGCGTGGCCGGTGGGGACCGAAGATGGAAGATTTGGAAGCTGAAATTTTTTTTGGTGGTCTTTGAACCTAAGGATCAACAGATAAGAACATACTCATAATTATTCAAGGATATTTTGTTTTTTGAACCGGTCTAACTACATAGACGTGAATATCTTGAATATCTATCGAATAATGATAATCTCAAATTTCAAGACAAATTAATGTCAATTAATGTCAATTAATGTCAATTAATGTCAATTAATGTCAATAAATGTCAATTAATGTCAATTAATGTCAATTAATGTCAATGTCAGTTTGGGGTTTTTATGGAATACTGACATTAATTGACGTTGCATTCCCCCCATGCAGATAGAGGAGTTAAGTAGCAGAAGTGATTACCTTCTAGCCGGTTATTTGGTATTTGCGCGATACAAATTACGCATCACACGGTAAACTACACGATTTGCAGTCCCCTATAATGGCAGCCGAAAAAACATTTGAATAAGGTTTAAAAACATTGCAAGACTCTTACTTGGTAGGTCGGACGACTCTCTGGATCTCATCAGAGTTGATAATCCTGGTCAGGTCAGCGTTCTTCATCATGTCTCTTGGCAGGCTGGAATATAATGGCTTAGAAGACGAACAAAGCACAGAGTATGAAACATGCATAAAACAAAAATTGATTATGACACCCAACTCTACCCAGTTATTATCCAGTTATTACGCTGTTACATACATGTTGGAAGGATAGATCTCTCCGAGAGCTTTGAAAGCGGGCTCGGTCCAGATACAGAACCGTCCGAGGTGACCGCCAGGGGCCAGATGGAGGAGGTTCATTCGGCTCACGTTCAGGAGGGTGACTCCTGGGAGATTCCTGAAAGCTTTGGTGATTCCGTTGTCTTCTTTGTAGATCACGAGAGGTCCTTTCCTCATGGTGTGACGCCTGTTCCTGATCTTGCCGACACCGGTCCTGACCTATGATAAAAGTGGGGGTGTAAGTCACAAAATAGTTTAAACAAACTGAACAAGCATACCACAAAATTGTTCTCGAAAATTGTATTAACTAAGGTCATTAGATATAGATATTTTATTAATGTAGATGTATAGACCGTAAAAGCATGCAGTCAAACCCAGATTTATCAAGGTGGGTGATGCCTAATTTTGACCAAGGCTTGTATTGCTAAGTTTTAGGACGAGAGTCACAAGAGACTAAATCCGGGGGGAATGCAACGTCAATTAATGTCAATTAATGTCAATTAATGTCAATTAATGTCAATTAATGTCAATGTCAGTTTTGCAAAATTTTGGAATACTGACATTAATTGACACGATATTTTTCGACCAGAGATTATGTAGTTCTACCATATTTTTAGCACTTTAGAACGTTTATATCATCAATTTATTCACTACTATCACATATGGAAATGTGAAATGTGAAAAAAATTCAGATCATTAAACAATAAAACTAAAATAATACGGTTTCCCGAAATTTAATTTTCTTAAATGGGCGTGGCCATCCAAGGGCGTGGTTCTCAACATCATCAGAACTTAAAACCCACATAAAACGAAATGCCTTCATGACATTTATATTTGAATAACGAATCTTAAACAGCTAACATTACTCCTTCATACTAAAAAAGCCGATTCTAGATATTTTACCTGTATAAGAAACCAATAAAATATGGGCGTGGCCGGTGGGGACCGAAGATGGAAGAGTTCGAAGCTGAAATTTTTTTTGGTGGTCTTTGAACCGAAGGATCAACAGATAAGAACATACTCATAATTATTCAAAGACATTTTAGTACAGGGAAATCCGTCTGAAAAAATTGATTTGCCGACACACAAAGCTTACAAAGGATTTTTGACGTTTTTGAGTCCTAATAGGTGTCCTTTATGGCTGACCAACTTTTCCAAACTTTTCCACGTGTCTTAAGGCCACTTTTTGCCACTTTACCACTTTTTACCACCTTTCTTGTTTGTCAAATATCTTTAGTTGTGAACATCGTAGAAAGTTGCAGATTAAACGAGGGTGTTCATATTATCAAGAAGAAAAACTTTTGTTGAGACAATTTTTTCCTCAGATAATCAATTAATTGGATAATTATCAATTAGCTAATTAGCAAAAATTTAAAAAATTTTTATTGGCTCAAAATGATTGGAATAGCTTAAAACACGGAGAAAAGTAGTTTTTAGAAAAACTTCGAAAATTTTTCACTTACATTTTTTTTTCAAGACTTAGAAAATTTTTTCGAATTTTCGAAATTTTTTTTCGCCAAAAGTTATCAAATTGCATGAAACGTAGAGAAAAATGCTTTTAAAAAAACTTCGTGAATTTTTCTTTTAAAGAATACTAAAATCACTTATATATTTTGCATACGCCATCTGGGAGCCGTCAGTTGAGCTTGCTCTCTGACTCGTGGGTTAAAAACATCGTGTACAGTACTTCGTGAGTAGTACAGTACTTCACAACGATAACCCGCCTCCCCAACCAAATCTCTTAAATTAAAAACATTACACACAGCTCAGTATGCACACTCACAATTATGGCAGTGAGTATCCCAGCTGCATATAATGCAGTGTACTAATAGCAGCAGATATGAGATAACAACACGATTGCTTACTGATAGGCGTGCAAGAAATTCCTGAGCTGAATAGGGCCGGTAGCTCAATTGGTAGAGCACCAGGCATGTAACTCGGAGGTTGGCGGATCATACCCGCCCCGGCACTATGCCGGCCCATGATTTTCCGAATCGCTTACCAGTGGAAATCTAGTCAATTCAAATATCTGCTTGCTTGGTACTCATGGTCGATACAATCACAGCCCAACCAACTATACTTGATCAGACCGATTCACCTACATGTGCATACGCCATCTGGGAGCCGTCAGTTGAGCTTGCTCTCTGACTCGTGGGTTGAAAACATCGTGTACAGTACTTCGTGAGTAGTACAGTACTTCACAACGATAACCCGCCTCCCCAACCAAATCTCTTATATATTTTGTAGTTGGAGTTCAGTAAATCTCGGCAGATTTTAGTAATCAGGAATTATTAAATCGAAATAGATAAAAGGACTGAAACTGAAAAACGTTAACCACAGGATACGAGAGTTTTATAATTAATTACAGTATATCCTTATCGATTTTTACAGAAACTGCACCAAAGGCACATTTAAGATCGAGCCGATAGCCTGCTGTACTACGATAATATGTAATGAATAAAACATCTCTGAGTCTGTACCGTCAATCGTGCTAATCTGAACCAGCCTACCTGGATTACCATCTACCTCTTCTTTTGATCATCAATAATTAGACCGAGTTGTGCAAGAAATGTGATTTATCATAACTCATATTGCATTTAGTGGGTGATGTAAGTACTTATCGAGCTGTATTCAATCACAATAGTAATATACGACACAATACCTTTGTATTAAATGGCCCTTAATGCGGTATATGAAACGCTTTATACCTCGATAGACCCGGTATAGTTTATCACGAAAACGTCTACTTGGCCTCATGGCTCATTTACAGCTCGAAGAAGGCAAGAAGAGACCATGGATACCAAGGAAGAGCTAGGAAGTAGGAAACAAGTGTAAATACACCTTCCAACATCTATTGTGACTTGTTTTCTATTGTTCTGCATACCACTTCATTCGCTATGCGAGATACCTCATACCTCAAATCACCCCCATATGTCAGGGTTGGCTAAATTCAAAAAGAGTAATATACGGGCAAAGATAAGATCTAGATACGAGCGTCGGACATGGGCAAGAGCCGTGGGGTAGTCAAAAAACGGTAATGATTATGCTGGTTTGCAATCCGGATGTTGTGAAGTAAAAAGACAGGTTCTTGCCGCAGGATATTTGGGGGCCATGATGATAAGCTCGGGATCAATGTGGGACGGATCGAAGAACATTAAAATGAGCGAGTTGACATTTTAGGCTTTCTGATGTTTTCTTGCCTTCTTCGAGCTGTCAATGAGCCATGAGGACAAGTAGAAGTTTTCGTGATACAGTAAAACCTCTCTATACCGGCCTTTCGCGGGAGAAACGAGAAGTGTACGGTATAGTCTATAGATTTATAGAAACACCTCGATAAAGAGCGTTTCATATACCGCATTAAGGGCCATATGATGTACACGTATTGTGTTTTATTGTGATAGTGCGATTGAAAACAGCTCGACATTATTTACAGACCCATCAAATGCGATATGACTCATATTGCATTTGGTGGGTGATGTAATTATTATGAGCTATAATAAATCACATTTCTTGCACAACTCGGTCTAATTATTGATGAAAAGAAGAGGTAGATGGTAATCCAGGTAGGCTGGTTCAGATTAGCACGATTGACGGTACAGACTCAGAGATGTTTTATTTATTACATATTATCGTAGTACAGCAGGCTATCGGCTCGATCTTAAATGTGCCTTTGGTGCAGTTTCTGTAAAAATCGATAAGGATATACTGTAATTAATTATAAAACTCTCATATCCTGTGGTTAACGTTTTTCAGTTTCAGTCCTTTTATCTATTTCGATTTAATAACTCCTGATTACTAAAATCTGCCGAGATTTACTGAACTCCAACTACAAATATAAGTGATTTTAGTATTCTTTAAAAGAAAAATTCACGAAGTTTTTTTAAACGCATTTTTCTCTACGTTTCATGCAATTTGATAACTTTTGGCGAAAAAAAATTTCGAAAATTCGAAAAATTTTTTTAAGTCTTGAAAAAAAAATGTAAGTGAAAAATTTTCGAAGTTTTTCTAAAAACTACTTTTCTCCGTGTTTTAAGCTATTCCAATCATTTTGAGCCAATAAAAATATTTTAAATTTTTGCTAATTAGCTAATTGATAATTATCCAATTAATTGATTATCTGAGGAAAAAATTGTCTCAACAAAAGTTTTTCTTCTTGATAATATGAACACCCTCGTTTAATCTGCAACTTTCTACGATGTTCACAACTAAAGATATTTGACAAACAAGAAAGGTGGTAAAAAGTGGTAAAGTGGCAAAAAGTGGCCTTAAGACACGTGGAAAAGTTTGGAAAAGTTGGTCAGCCATAAAGGACACCTATTAGGACTCAAAAACGTCAAAAATTCTTTGTAAGCTTTGTGTGTCGGCAAATCGATTTTTTCAGACGGATTTCCCTGTACTATTTTGTTTTTTTGAACCGGTCTAACTTACATAGACGTGAATATCTTGAATATTTATCGAATAATGATAATCTCAAATTTCAAGACATATTAATGTCAATTAATGTCAATTAATGTCAATTAATGTCAATTAATGTCAATTAATGTCAATGTCAGTTTGGGGTTTTTATGGAATACTGACATTAATTGACGTTGCATTCCCCCCCTAAATCCAGGTAAGATAGGAACTTATTGTAGCTGTATAAACTTGTTATCATGACATAGTACCAAGATAACTATGGGTACAGCATTTCAAGATCAAATAGAGTGAGTAAGTCCAGATATACCTTTGGGGGCCGGGGGATGCGACGAATAGCTTGAAATCATTTTAAGAGCAGCTAAACAGCGAATTTTGTTTTCATTGGACATGGAGATTTGGGAAGCAATGTTTAACAGTGTTTAAGGGAAGATATTGTTTAAGGGAAGATATTGTTCATAAACACCAGCTTACCTTTCTGGACTCCTTGGCCTTCTCGACATCATCGTAAGCTCCGATGGCCTTCATCAGAGTGACAGCCTGCTTAGTCTTGGTGATGGATTCTACTCCAGCTTCAATAACACAGGGTACCTCAGCGACCTAAGCAATGAAGAGGTTATATCACGCACACAATACAATGACGTTAAACAAGTTCGATCGCTTGTAGAATGAAGAAGTTTTAAGAATGTTTCTGCTTGAATCTGTTCATTACAAACCGATAAAACCAACCTCCCATGTTTGTTAGTCGTATACAGCCATTCACTAAATATAGACTCACCCGCAGAATTAATTATTAAAGTTGTTTTCTCTTACCTTGTCGACCTTGTGTCCTCTGGCCATGAGAAGTGAGGGCAGAGCAGAAGCAGCGACAGCAGAGCAGATAGCATACCTTCTCATCTTCCTGTTTACACGTCTGTGCCATTTCCTGAAGGTCTTGGTGGGGGCGAACATGCGTCCACTCCTGCACATGTTACCGTAAGCTCCCTGACCGGACCTGTGGGTACCACCTCCTCGGACACGAGGAATACGAGCTACAGCACGACCTGTACCCCAGGATTCAGCACTAGTTTGGTGACCGGCTTCTCTAGATACGGCATATGCCTGAAACAAATTGGTTGTAAGAAATGGAGCACATCAGATTAGCTTAGGTCAGGCTGAAAGACAGGTAGAAATAAAAACAGCAATGTTATCAAGTGAGGTAATATCTCAATTCAATGAAGGATTTCACATCGAAGAGTACTGACCTGTCTGTGATTCTTAGCGATATTAGAGTGAACAAAGTGTACAACATCTGGTCTGATAGGTGCTTTAAAGATAGCGGGGAGTGCGAGCTGTCTGCTGATCAGAGCTCCATCCTCACAACCGTGAATTGAGACCTGTGGTCTAGCCTGAAAACGTGATATTTGAAGGCAAACGACAAATTTAGCAAAGTTCGTTGAAGCACGATTGAAAGGTCACGATTGAAAGGTCACGATTGAAAGGTCACGATTGAAAGGTCACAAGAGGGGAATTAAACCAATAAGAGAGGAATAAGTATTGTTCATTCGAACAATACTACGGAACAGTTTAGATATCACACTAGTCAAAGAGACAAAGATAAGTCAATAGATGTACAAACAACATATTCGTGGACCGGACTTACCATTTTGTTATCAAGGCAGTGTAAAATGAGTGTAACTAGTTTTTCGTTCAGAAGTCGGACTAGTATTTATTTGATTGCGTGCGGAGTAAACCGCGCAAGATATATCCTGCGAACGAAAGCTATCATTTCACTGCGCGGCGTAATAAGTTTGATTTCAATAAATATCTGAAACAATTTATTTTTCACTGAATTTGTTAGTTTTTAAACATACTTCAATTTTTAAATAAATTATATTGTATTCTCCATTCAAATCATTTTCAGACTTGAAAGAAGATTAAACTGTCCCGCACTTTTTTGAAAAGGTGCCCAGCTATTGTATTTTGATTATTTTTTATTCTCCGTGACCTTTCTCAGGTTTTATTTTGCATTCTGTCAATTACAATATCGTCAATAACAAACATATGTTAATGTCATTGTCAATTTTGCAACACGCAATAAACATTTTATTTATAGTGGTCGAAAAACTAAATTGAACCAAAAAATTTAACAATGACTTTTATGCTGTTGTAGCTTTTTATGATTATCTTTATTTAAATTAATTCCTTAGGCACTTGCAAATTGGGCATTTTCAATCCATATTTTAAATGGATTTTATCCATTTGCCACCTTTTCCTTCATCTTCACATACGTTTTAATTCTCGGTATCCTCTTCTTGGAGGGTTGTCATACCACAGCGGCAGGTAGTAAAGCATCGTCATGCTATTCAATTTTATATTCTATTGATGATTGAGGGCCAGTTATTACTGTCACCAAGATGTAAATCAGATCGAACGAGAAATTAGATCGAACGAGGAATTAGATCGAACGGCGTCTCAATTCGATCTGATTTACATCTTGGTGACAGTTAATCTTGGTGACAGTAAGGTCAAGCCTTTCTAAAACATAAAAAGACTCGAGAGTGGAAAGGAATTTAAAAGACGCGCGCGGGTTTAGTAAAATTTTGACGGACAAATGCCACTTGAAATCGAGCGCTGAGCCAGACAATTTTTTGAAGTTTCAACTGCAATCCACGGTTTTCCTCGTAGTTCGATATTTGCGGAGTTCAGACTGTTTATTGACTGTGTTAAAATGAGGTGAGTATGTTTTCTTAAGAAGGTTGTCTTATCATATAGTGTCAGATCAGTGTCTTTTGTGACCTGCCTTGAATTATTAAACCAGAACGATGTTCAATCGCCCAACAATTGGCCAAATGACGGTTAATCACACTCTGGCTTCTGTCCTACTTTGTGTGAACAGAAAACAGTCGTAATATCATCATTAATTATGTTAAATTCTCTTCAGTTATTCTGGTTACTACAGAGGAAGAGGTGGTGGCCCTCGAGGCCCACCCCGTGGTGGCGGACCTCGGCAACCTGGCGGATATGGACCGTGAGTCTCTTGTGATTATATGTTATGATATGATCAATTGGACTTTTAATTACCATCAGATTATCATTCTGTTACAATATAATATGAACTTTTCTTATTTCTGACCTCTGATTGATCTCGCAGACCCCCACTACCACCTGACATGATATACAAATCATTTGACCCTCTAGAGGTATGTTGTATTCTTTGGCAAGTCTTGGGGGGTTTCTCATCTAACTGCATCATTGGCCGGTCATTGCTTTTCTCAGCCCTCTATCGCATCAGTTTACATAACAATAACATACTACGTGGAAAATTAATTATGAACTGCGTCAATTATTTAAAGTCAAATTATTCTATATTTTATTGTGGTTCAATCTTTTGAGTTCGAAATAAAAATTGTCCGCTAAATATAACATTCATAAGTTTTTAATGTGGATTATAAATAAACAATTAGATCACTTTAATATTGCACTCTTCCATTCCCCTGATAAAAGTCCTTGTCGATCATCCCATTTGGCTACTTATTTAGAATGAACTTGGCATTCCTCACCTTCTGATCATTGACTTGTGTTTAGACTCGGGGTTAAGCTTGCCAAAGAATACTATTTTTTCTACGCGGAATATCGATTCGGATATGCGACCTCGGTTTTTCGTTTATCAAGATTAATTCTGATTTTCTTCTGTTTTAATCCTTATCTATCAACAAATCTAAGACCCAAACCATCTTAGTCAAAGCACTTGTTCCAACGGGTAGCACCTGAGAAAGATGACACAGAACTGTCTCAAGCAATCATCGCCAAGAATCTGGAGCTCACCCCGCCTCCTGAAGAGCTTGCTAAGCTGCAAGAACAGGTTTGTACTTTGTTAGCACTGAACAGGTTTGTACTTTGTTAGCAATGAACAGGTTCGTACTATGTTAGCACTGAACAGGTTCGTACTATGTTAGCACTGAACAGGTTCGTACTTTGTTAGCACTGAACAGGTTTGTACTTTGTTAGCACTGAACAGGTTTGTACTTTGTTAGCACTGAACAGGTTCGTACTTTGTTAGCACTGAACAGGTTCGTACTTTGTTAGCACTGAACAGGTTTGTACTTTGTTAGCACTGAACAGGTTTGTACTTTGTTAGCACTGAACAGGTTCGTACTTTGTTAGCACTGAACAGGCTTGTACTTTGTTAGCACTGAACAGGTTCGTACTTGGTTAGCACTGAACAGGTTCGTACTTTGTTAGCACTGAACAGGTTTTTACTTTGTTAGCACTGAACAGGTTTGTACTTTGTTAGCACTGAATAGGTTTGTACTTTGTTAGCACTGAACAGGTTTGTACTTTGTTAGCACTGAACAGGTTTGTACTTTGTTAGCAATGAACAGGTTCGTACTTTGTTAGCACTGAACAGGTTTGTACTTGGTTAGCACTGAACAGGTTTGTACTTTGTTAGCACTGAACAGGTTTGTACTTTGTTAGCACTGAACAGGTTTGTACTTTGTTAGCACTGAACAGGTTTGTACTTTGTTAGCACTGAACAGGTTTGTACTTTGTTAGCACTGAACAGGTTTGTACTTTGTTAGCACTGACCGGGTTTGTACTTTGTTAGCACTGAACAGGTTTGATGAACATCTGTACATGATAATGTTTGAGGATGCAGGGTTACAACAGTCTCCTTACCCAGCTTTATCGCAGGTTACAAAGTTAACGAGTATAGTCGACACTCTGGTCGTCAGTCCTGCACCAGAAGTCGATATCGGTAAAAGACCTACATAATATGATAAATCACTAAATTGTATTGAAAATATTTCACCTCATGATCTTCTCTGACTCAAGTAATGGCGTTTATTGAGTTTTAACTTTCACAGAGGAGATGCGTGTAGTGGGTTCCTTCAAGAAAGGCACTATTCTAGCCGGTCATAAGACAGCTGATATCGTACTGATCATCAAACATCTTCCTACTCTCGAGGACATCACCAACATTCAGGTTCGTAGATTTACATTGAAAACCGCGCCGTACATTGACCCTACTTTGAACATATCGTCAAAATCACTAGATTGTCCCAAAACAGTTGCATTGATGGTCACCTCACAATCATTATTTATTATCTTCTCCAGAACCTGATGAAAGAGAAGATGAACGCTCAGCAGCCAGAAAAGAGCGAAAGAAAGCGACCACTAAGTCACATGAGTCTGGTTTTAGCTATACCTTCAATGGATCCACCCTGAACGTGTTTGTTACGACCCTTCCCAACAACACCAAGGAAACAATCGACCCTGAAAAACATCGTGAGTTCATTTTAATGTTCAATTATGCTCGTCCTAGGATTTCACCGATATTACAACACGAAGTGAAATACCAACCCTTGGACAACCCAATCCTGGACTTAGTTTATCCCAATCAGCCTAATTCTAGTTTTTTATGCAGCAAATTTAGATCAAGCATTAAAAAAACTTAATCCCGGTTAATATTAGATTTGTGAGGAGTTTGAAGAACTATAAGTATTGTCATTTTAGAACTTCCCTTATGAATCCTTGACTCCACTCAGTGAAATTAGAAAATTTAAAGAACAGTTTGGCTGCAATTCGTCACGCAAGATGGTTTGAAGAGAATGCTTACCAGTCTAGTATCAGAATCTTGGTGAGAATACTCAAAGACTTCAAGAAGAGGATCCCCTTCTTCATGAATGTGAACCCTTGGACTATCGACTTACTAGTAAGTAGGGGGGGGGGGGGGGGGCAACGTTTTGTAGATTAAGGTAGATAAAAGTAGAATGTCATCCATTTTTTTTGCGAATTCTACTCTACTTTATTCTACTTTATTCTACTTTATTCTACTTTATTCTACTTTATTCTACTTTATTCTACTTTATTCTACTTTATTCTACTTTATTCTAAGTTGGCCCCCAAAGTTTTTTAGATTCAGGTAGATAAAAGTAGAATGTCATCCATTTTTTTTGCGAATTCTACTCTACTTTATTCTACTTTATTCTACTTGCCCCCCCCCCCCCTAAGTAGGGATGCAATTTTTGAAACCTATTAAAATTCTAGTTCAGCATCCAAGCCACACGTTGCCTGCGCCATTCCTGGAAACAGCATTTAAGTGGCGATATTGAGAAATGGGGCATGAGGCATGGAAAGCGCCCTTGTATAGATCTTGATATTTTAAATGACGTCACGATTCAGTAGCTGAGTGGTTTAGGAACCGTCAGTTCGAATTAACCCGCCAATGTTTTCTTTAAAAATTTGTTAAAATATAGCCATTTTCAAATCACATAATGTCACTTGGTGTACGAGTATGAAGTTTTTACTTGCAATAGAAATGATAACAATTAGGATAGAAGAATTTAAAATTATATTGATCATTCATCATCAAGTTCGATGCTTTAACAGTATTAATTCTAAAAAACTGCTAATATCTTATTACGTTAGACAAAGGTTCCAATGCATTTAAAAGTCCTTTCATGTAACGTATATCACTCAATCTACAACCCCTTTCTGGGTATATAAAAACAGAGCACTTCACCCTTGCTCTGGATATTGAAAGGTAGAGTGAAATCAGATTCTTCTCATAAATCTCTTTCGACATTCGACATAATACAATAACTACAGGCCACTCAGCTGAGAAGCTATGGTTACAGTGACACATGGTTATCTTATCAGTGTCATTGTCATGTGCGTCAATTATAAATCCTGATATCCCGTGATTCCCGTCATCATTATAAACTACTGCTATTTTAATACCATCACATATTTTTCTTTGTAGCTTAACCAAATCTTCGTTTATAATATGGCAAATGGAATCAAAATCATATTCACTAAAAACATGCAACTGTGTAATTACACCTCGAATAAAATGACCAGGGTCTTGCTTCGGTAAAATCATATTTCTAATGTCTGAATCATTTGATACTAATTCTATGTATTGATTTCTAATAACGGATAGAACATTTGAAAGATCGTAGGTGTTCCTCAAATTCATAGTCAAAGTCACAAGTTGATCTGAAGAAAGTGTTTTGGAAAGTACCTCAGAAAAATGCACATAATTTACTGCATCAGAGCGCCAATAACTCTGTCCAAAATCACACGCTACTATTACGGTACTGTTCTCTGAGAACAATTTCAGTATGTCTAAAAACGCAGACATATCACGAGGACCTCTATTCCGCCAGCTGCGTCTTATCAAACACTGAATATCATCAATTAACACATGACAAGCATTTAGTAAGAGAAGTGTTTCTATTACCAATCCTGTAAAAAAATAAGAGCCATGTATTTCTGTAATTCCTGTGTATATATGCACCTCTACGATCACTACTTTATGTTCACTGTTCAATATCAATTTAGATAATTTCGAGGGAGTGTGATGATAACGGTCCACATACTGTAACACTGTGAACTCCACAGCAGCTTTCTTACAGGTGTCCTGATATGTTGTTGAGTTATTTTTAATTCCACCAAATTTAAAAACGACAACTTGCTTATCTGTATTAGATTTGGCAAGTTCTATTAATTTCCCCAATAATAACACAGTTTTACCACTCCCTGCTGGGCCGTTAATCCAAAGCAGTTTTTCATCTGATTCTGAAACCCTCTTCTGTTCTGCTGTTAGATATTTGACACCAACATATTCTCTGATGACATCACAAGCTTGAACAACTCCAGGATTGAAGCTCTTTTTACATTTAGAGTTTTTAATTCTTTGCTCTAAAGTGATTTCTCCTTCCCTCAATTCTTTATCTATCCTCATCACAGTTTTCGCTAGACTGAACGTAGATTGGTCAGGTATATCTACTTCAGTACATGATATTGTTAACAAAATGTGTTTCACCTTGTCATGCTCATGCTCCGATTTCAGTAGTTCTTGACTCAAATTTCGGCGTCTTTTAAAGATCCTGTTAAATATTTTGACGATGAAACTTGGCCGAATTTTTGCTGTAACGTTGTTGTGCCACCACTTTGGAAAGTCATCAATATCTTTTTTATAGATTATTGAATTCATCTGGTCACTGTCCATGTCTGTTATTGGTGATCGACCCAGAAAATCACAGCTTAAACTTGGAAATGCCGTGAAAAGTAAAATGTTTGCCTCTGGACATAAAGCGTGTATGAGTTTCTTGACTCTTTCTCTTTGTAATAATGAATTCTGAAATGCCACAGTTGCAGTTTCGTTAAGTATCGTGTTCTTGACCTCAATAACGATAAAAAAGTCCTCTCCAATTATCAAGAAATCACACTCCTCTGAGTTCTTGGAGTTGTGGCACTCCTCACAGGTCTTCTTGTCGTGGCTACTGTCACACATAGCAAACTGGAAATGTGTAAACTTAAACCCGTGAAGAACTATCATTGTTTCATTCACTTTCTCCAAAACTCTATAAACTACAACTTCGGCTTCGTAATTGTCTCGCAATATTATGTTATCTGCAATACGAGAATCCTCTTGGTGAGCGTTGTCAGGATACTTATCTTTGTAGGTTTGTTGGGGTGCTGGGGGCGACATCACAGGTCGTCTTTCTTCTGATAAGCAGAAACGAGCAAGGATTTCTTTTCCTCTCTGTTCGTAGTCTGATAGTTTAGTCATCGGCTCTGTGGATTCATTTTGTTATATTTTTGAGATTAACATCTTAAACTTAGTAAGTGATTTAGTAAACTCTATATTTACTATAATGTGTGAGGACTGAGGATATCAAAAATATAATTTTTGATTTTACGTGTCAAAAACATTAAATTTTCGGCCCATTGGTTGGGATTATTTCCATTTAAATATTTCTGTATCAAGTATGAAACAAGACATAATTACAGCAGAAAAACTAATACGCTGAGCGAGTCGAGTGATTTATTACCCCACATAGTTGCTAGAGGATTTTTGTCAGAGTTTATCAGTACAGCTTTTCTCTCTTCAAGAATGTATCTTAACTCGTGGACAGTGCCATGAAATTTTGTCTCCAAGATCCTCATATCGTTTCTAAGTTTCCAGTAACCCTGCTTTTTTCCTTTGTTCCACTTAATGGTGTTATCGTTGAGGAACTTGATAGATGCTTTGGGTGTTGCTCCATCATCTGCCCACTTCCACACAGTATCTGCTAGGTCAGGAAACTTATACCAGGTCTCAGCAGGGGCATCTGAGGGGTATAAATAGTTTAGTTAAGGTATTATTCTCTAACAGAAAACCTGTGCAATGCGATCGGGAATAGGAAAAATAGACACTGTGTAAGTTCGAATTAGTAAATTGTATCTCGGCTATGGTTGATGTGGATAAAACAAAATAAAACAAAATGTTTGTACTTTGTGATACTCACAATCAATTTATATTTAGTTCAAATATTTATAGTCAAAATAACCACTTCACAGAAGTGTTTTTATTATAATAAAACTATTTGTGATAAGTGTACAAGTGATAAATTAATAAGTTAATTTACACTAAAAATGTACAAATGAAGACACAATTTTTACTTTCCGGAAATAGTAAATACTGAATGTTCTAACCTTTTAGTATTGAACGAGACGAAGTTGTTGGCTTTTCCCCGTCCATTTTAATTTGCTTTTAAAACAATGATTTTATGCAATTTAGCTATTATATTTAACGTTCCAGCATTTAATATTTTCTCGTCATTATCGCTAATATGATACATACATTTAATAATAGTTAATGCATTATATAAAGTTAGGGAAGTTACGATATTAATTGTCGAAGTGCGAATTTAAAGGGAGCCCCTGACATAACTGGATCGAAAAAGGATGGCATGAACGATTGATAAAACACAATGAGGTACAGGTGATCCCATATTTAGCACAGAACAGTAAAACACAAACAGAGAGAGAGAGGGAGAGAGAGAGCGAGGCAGTTAATTATGTGCAGAACTCGGGACGGGAAATATGATCTTGCGAATTACAAACATGTGTCACCTGTGTGTTATATGGCGTTGTAAGCCGTTGGAAATTACCATTGGGTGGTATACCACTGGCCGGATTTCTGGTATTAACAATGAATATTGATTTAGCTCAAGGTAGTTCAATATTGACAAAAAAGAAGCTACAAAATTCCACAGATCATTCATAAAGGTTCTGGAAAATCTGGTTTGACGCGGACGCGTTATTTCGAGTTAGGGGTCGTTCACATATTACGTAATCAGTTTTTTGCCAATTTTTAACCCCCCTCCCCCCTCCGTAATCATTTTTACACTTAGCTATTGTGTCAAAATTACACTAGCATAATCATTTGGAAACCCCTCCCCCTCGGCTGATTACGACATATGTGAACGACCCCTTACTGCTAAAACCTTTTCGGTTTTGAAAAGTTTTGACAGTGGACATAATTAGAATTAGGACAGAAGAATTAAAAATTATATTATTCATCATAAAGTTCGATGAAGGTTCTGGAAAATCTGGTTTGATGTGTTACTTCACTTACTGCTAAAACCAGTTCGGTTTTGACTTTTGACAATTGAAATAATTAGAATTAGAATGGAAGAATTAAAAATTATATTTATCATTCATTGCATCATCAAGTTTCATGCTTTAACGATCCTAATTACAAAAAACTGCTAATATCTTATCACGTTAGACAAAGGTTCCAATGCATTTAACAGATCTTTCATGCAATACATATCACTCAATTTACAACCGCTTTCTGGGTATATAAAAACAGAGCACTTCACTCGTGCTCTGGATATGGATAGGTAGAGTGGAATCAAATTCTTCTCATGATTCCTTTCCGACATTCGACATATTACAATAACTGCAGGCCACTCAGTTGAGCAGCTATGGTCACAGTGACACATGGTTATTTTATCGGTGTCATTGTCATGTGCATCAATTATAAATGGTGATATAGCGTAATCATTATAAACTACTGCTATTTTCATGTCATCTGATAATTTTCTTCGTAACTTAATCAAATCTTCGTTTATAATATGGAAAATGGAATCAAAATCATATTCACTAAAAACATGTAACTCTGTAATTACACCTCGAATAAAATGACCAGGGTCTTGCTTCGGTAAAATTATATGTCCAAAGTCACAACTTGATACCAATCCTCGGTATTTATTTCTAATAACCGATAGAATATTTGAGAGATCGTACGTGTTCCTCAAATTCTTAGTCAATGTGACAAGTTGATATGAATAAAGTTGTCTGTAGAGGTGACCACTAAAAGCCACATGAAGCACTGCATCAACATGATAATAACACTGTCCAAAATCACACGCTACTATTACGGATCTCTTATTTTTGAACAGTTCCAGTATGTCTAAATACACAGGCAAATCACGATGAATCATAGGCAACCAGCTGTGTCTTATCAAACACTGTATATCATCAATTAACAAATGGCAAGCTTTTAGCAAAAGGAGTGTTTCTATTACCAATTCAGTAAAGGAATATGATATCTCTGTAATTTCTTTGTATACATGCACATTTACGATCACTACTTTATGTTCACTGTTCAATATCAATTTACATAATTGCGAGGGAGTGTGATCTTTACAATCCACGAACTGTAACACTGTGAACTCCACAGCAGCTTTCCTACATGTGTCCTGATATGTTGTTGAGTTATTTTTATCTCCACCAAATTGAAACACAACAACTTGTTTATCTGTATCAGATTTAGCAAGTTCTATTAATTTCCCTAATAATAGCACAGTTTTGCCACTCCCTGCTGGGCCGTTAATCCAAAGCTGTTGTTCAGCATACATATTATATGGGTATTTTGGATTTCCAAAATACCCATATGATTCTAAAACCCCCTTTTGTTCTACTGTTAGATATTTGATTCCAACATAGTCTCTGATGACATCACAAGCTTTGACCACTCCAGGATTGAAGCTCTTTTTACACTGAGAGTTTTTAATTCTTTGCTCTAAAGTGATTTCTCCTTCCCTCAATTCTTTATCTATCCTCATCACAGTTTTCGCTAGATTGAACGTAGATTCATCAGGTATATCTACTTCAGTACATGATATTGTTAACAAAATGTGTTTCACCTTGTCATGCTCATGCTCCGATTTCAGTAGTACTAGACTCAAATCTCGGCGTCTTTTAAAGATTCTGTTAAATATTTTGACGATGAAACTTTTGGAGAGCATGTTTAATACTTTGTAGAAAAAACTTGGCCGAATTTCCGCTGTAGTAACCGCTGTAGTAACCGCTGAAACCTTGTTGTGCCACCAATTTGGAAAGTCATCAATATCTTCTTTATAGATTATCGAATCCACTTGGTCACTGTCCATGCCTGTTAATGGTGGTGGACCACCATTAACAGACCTGTTAATGTACTTAGAGCTCAAACTTGGAAATGCCGTGAAAAGTAAAATGTTTGCCTCTGGACATAAAGCGTGTATGAGTTTCTTGACTCTATCTCTTTGTAATAACGAATTCTGAAATGCCACAGTTGCATCCTGGTAAAATATCGTGTTCTTGACCTCAATAACGACAAAAAAGTCCTTTCCGATAATCAAGAAATCACACTCCTCTGAGTTCTTGGAGTTGCGGCACTCCTCACAGGTCTTCTTGTCGTGGCTACTGTCACACATAGCAAACTGGAAATGTGTACACTTAAACCCGTGAAGAACTATCATTGATTCATTCACTTTCTCTAAAACTCTATAAACTACAACTTCGGCTTCGTAATTGTCTCGCGATATTATGTTATCTGCAATACGAGAATCTTTATATCGAGCGAGGTCAGGGTACTTATCTTTGTAGGTTTGTTGGGGTGCTAGGGGCGACATTACAGGTCGTCTTTCTTCTGATAAGCAGAAACGAGCAACGATTTCTTTTCCTCTCTGTTCGTAGTCTGATAGTTTAGTCAGTGGCTCTGTGGATTCATTTCGTTAGATTTTTGACATCAACATCATAAACTTACAAGCGATTTGGTAGACTCTATTATGCGAGCGTGACACTGGATAAGATTGCTACAAATGTCCAAAACATAATCACAGCAAATAAAACTAATGTGCTGAGCGAATAGAATGGATTATTACCCCACATAGTTGCTAGAGGATTTTTATCAGAGTTTATCAGTACAGCTTTTCTCTCTTCAATTATGTATCTCAACTGGTGGTCCGTTCCATGAAATTTTGTCTCCAAGATCCTCATATCGTTTCTAAGTTTCCAGTAACCTTGCTTCTTTCCTTTGTTCCACTTAATGGTGTTATCGTTGAGGAACTTGATAGATGCTTTGGGTGTTTCCCCATCATCTGCCCACTTCCACACAGTATCTGCTAGGTCAGGAAATTTAGACCAGGTCTCAGCAGGGGTATCTGAGGAGTGTTAATAGTTAATTTTACCTCAAATAGCCCATTTTACCTTTTTTATCAAGACACTTATTTTACTTCGGAGTATTCCAACAGCCACATTGTTACACAAGTGCAACCAGCCAATTACAGGAAGCCGAAGGATTTGTTTTTAGCCAGTGACGGTTAAGGTAGTGTATACCATACTTTCTTCGCCCGAGACTTTGCTGCAATGTGCTGCTCCTCATTTAACCCTCACACCCGATTTCTCGAGTATTCGGCTGAGTAGACCGGGGGCTGCATAGACCATTCTTGATCCTTAGCTGAACGTCAACGACGCTCACCCCACGACCAGGCAGACAGTGGGATTTGAACCCGCAACCTCACGATTGCAAAGCTGGCGTTCTAACAACTGCGCTACCTGGCCGTTCAAATTTCAATTTTGGGAATGGGTTTTTTTGAGGTTTTTCTTTTGGGGTTTTTTGATTTTTTCGCCATTTTTATAACTTTTTATCTAATTCGACTACATTGAAAAAAAAACCCCTAGGCACTCTTTTAAATTTTGTCTAATCAAGATAGAGTTCACTGACCTATACTGGCCCCTCCCCTCCCCTCTTTTAACTTACGTATTGATTTTAAGGGAATTGTTTTACTTCCTTACTGTAGTAAATAATACAAATGACACATATAATTATTGGCAATGGGTATGACCGATGATGGAGGATAACATAATACATAAACATGGTCTTAAATGAATGTAGGTGTAAATCAATTCTAACAGTTTTTCTTTAAAAAACCCAACTTTACCTCCTGAATTTTCATTTTGGGAATGGGTTTTTGGGTTTTTTTGGGGGTTGGACACCCCCCAGTTAAGGTATCATTGCCTAGCAGAAAACCTGTGCAATGCGATTGGGAATAGGAAATATAGACACTCTGTAAGTTCGAATTAGTAAATTTGATCTCGGCGATGGTCGATTTGGATAAAAGAGAAGTTCCAATACTCCGATTCAGTTGAGTAAAGTATTGTTCAGTATTAGAGTGGGACGTTTCAAGAACTCTCTGAAATAGTAAATACTGAATTTTCTTACCTTTTAGTTCTGATTGGAACGAAGTTATTGGCTTTTCTCCGTCCATTTTAATTTGTCGTCTTCTTCAAACAATGAGTTTATGCAATGACGATTTAGCTATGATATTTTTACGTTCCAGGATTTAATATTTTCTCGTCATTATCGCCAATATACATAAAATAGTTAAATACATAAGTTACAATATATAAGTTACACATTAATTGTCAAAGTGCGGACTCAAAGTGAAAAAAAACAGAATCGCCGAAAAGAGCGATTACATACACGGTTGATAAAAGACAATGAGACACAGGTGATCTCATATTTAGCACAGAACATTAAAACACAAACTGAATTAAAACATTAAAACACAAACATTAAAACACAAACAGAGAGACAAAGAGAAAGTTGGTTATGTGCAGAACTAGGAAGAGAAATATAACGTTTAAAATAATGTAATTACAAACATTTTTCACGTGTGTGTTATATGGCGTTGTAAGCCGTTGGAAATTACCACTGGCCGGATTTCTGGTCGTAACATTGAATATTAATTTGGCTCAGGTAGTTCAATATTGACAAAAAAGGGGCTAAAATATTCCACATATCATTCACGAAGGTTCTGGAAAATCTGGTTTGATGTGTTATTTCGAGTTACTTCACTTACTGCTAAAACCAGTTCGGTTTTGACTTTTGACAATGGAAATAATTAGAATTAAGATGGAAGAATTACAAATTATATTATTCATTCATCATTAAGATTGATGCTTTAACGATCCTAATTATAAAAAAACTGCTAATATCTTATCACATTAGACAAAGGTTCCAATGCATTTAACAGATCTTTCATGTAACGTATATCACTCAATCTACAACCCATTTCTGGGATATAAAAACAGAGCACTTCACCCTTGCTCTGGACATTGAAAGGTAGAATGAAAGCAGATTGAGCTCTTGGAGTCTTATCCGACATTCGACATAATACAAAAAGCGGTTAAAAAATTCAAGTTCAGTTCATTCACGAAGGTTCAGGTAAATCTGGTTTGACGCGTAATTTTGAGTTACTGCTGCAACCTGTTCGGTTTTTAAACTTTGTTCTTTTCAGGCGCATCACTCTGCAGTTTCTAACACTAATGGGAACACACTATCTGTGCCTCAAGTTTTCAGGTAATAAGACGATAGGGACAATTTAGTGACATACCCATTATAATAACCCAATTGTCGTGATATTCGAACAAACATCTTTAAAAACTAGCAAATTTTGCGAAAATTTCCCAACAAATTCAATTTTGCGCGCACGTTTCGAATCGTCCATTCCATGCCTTGTCAAGGTATTGAGCAGATGTTTGACCTTGATTATCAAATCTCAAGATGTGATTGATATATTTCTATTTCAGACGATGTTTGCAGTTACTGGCAGCTGGTATTCTTCTCCCTGGCTCAGCCTCTATCTCAGACCCTTGCGAAGTGAGCATTTACTTTGAAATCTCTCATATAATACCCATTTTAAGGAATCAACTTCTCAAATTCTATAATATGAAGTATTCCATGTCCTTGATAGAAAATCAAATGAAATTTCATTATGAATGAGCGTTTAACACTCCTGTAATTCAGCCCGGTTTCGTGAAAGCACACTCCTTCATGAGTTACGAACATCAAGATGAATTGGCCTGCGGAGCTCAAACCCTACTCAGAGCCCTCTCCCACGGAGGCTACAAAGAAATCCTGGCCATGAAAGGAGCTAGGAAGATTACCTTTGAGAATGCTGTGATGTTTGATGGAATAATTGTTACCCCCTCCAAGCTGGCTTACGAGAAACCTACAGAACCTGCTGGTAAGGAAATTAGGATTGTTCGAGGAATTTGACGAATCGTTGTAAAATAGTGGCAACTAAATTATGTCGTTGCAGTTTGATTGTTGTCTCTAATTTGAAAGTTTGCTTGCTTTAGTACGGATTTATATTACTTAAATACTGTTTTCAGAGGCTATGGAGACGAACGGCTCATAGTTTCCACAACCAGAAGAGATTTCCAGATAGGAGATGTTTCATCAACAATTAATTGTTACATTCAGTGGTTCATTTAACCTCAGAAAATCGTGGACTTCGCGGATCTATTTTCTGATGTTCAGCCTACATTTAAATATTTTATCTCTGCCATTGTATTGATGACTATTTCATTGTTATTTATTTTATTTCTTCTAAAAATGCGTGTCCATGCTGTCCTTTTACCGTTTTAATCGTCAAAGCTGTTAAAATTGATGATCGGCACAATGATCCACAGAAAATACCAGGACTAATAGACCAAATGTAACACTTCCACCTGAAATCGAGGACATCTTTGGACCACTACAATTATAATATAGAGATAGCAAGTTGACCTAGCCTATGATATAGTGAGTGCACTGGTTATGAACATTTAAAAATTAGCCGTTGTGTGAGTAATTTCCGCTAGCTTACACGTTACCCCCTTATATCTATGGTCACTTTTTATTCTAGGATCAACGCCCAGAACAGGTTCATGTTGTTCATGGAATAAATGTAAACAGATAATTGTAAAAATTTTCTGCCAAGAAATGTTGTGGACTGGTATACCATATACGACGCATCAGTGATTAAATATCAAGGTTTGTTTCAAGGCACTCATACATGATAAATGCAATTTAATAATAAATTGGGCAGGTGCAATTTCCACTATGCAACTTTTTATGTCTAATATCTATAATCACGTACAATGGAGGATGGATTTAAATACTGCCGAATGCCGATATTTCAAGCTGCGCTGGTGGCGTGGAAATCGATCGTACGTGCGCGCGTTACGATGGCGCGTAAATTACCTTAAAATTTGATGCATGGCGTACGCGCGTTACGTACAGTCAGCGTTGCTAATGAACCAACACAGAAGTTTGCCGGCATTCAATTTGTTTAACAGTACAGGGTAGTAATTACTGAGAGATTTCATGGCAAATATCTATTCTCAAGAGAATTGAAAGAGGAAATTGATGAAAAAATTGAACAGGTAAATACATTCAAATTTCAATAAAATGAAAATAACAGCCTACGTAATGCAATTGTAAATAAATATAAGCAGAGAAAATACGGTCTCTCAAAGTTTCAAGAGAGTAAAATAATAGTTAACAAAAGCAAATCACATTTAATTAAAGAACAGTTTCATTAATCATTGATAAGTAATCGTTTCTTGTTTTAAAAATTAAAAACAATTCCAACAAGCCTACAATCAGATACAGTCGCATAACAGCGTGAACTGTGAGGTCGCTGATCAACGTACAGAGCGTTAACATAAATTAGATGTCCGTATTAGAACTTCATAGATAGTCCTTGGTTGTAAAATGTAGAGATAAAACATCTTACTCGAAGATCTCAAAAACTTGGGTTAAAACTCTATGTTTGCTATTTTCTAGTGCTGGGGTTCATATTTCCCGTTTGTAGCTGTAGGTGTCCAGACTTTCCATGCTGCCGAATTCGGTGACGTCGAACGTCTTAACATCAAGTGATGTACTGAACCCTGAAAATGTAACATAAGTTTAGAGATTTAGGTTATTGTAATATTTCATGCATGCATACACGTGTCTTGATAGTCATTCAATATCCAGATACACATAAACTTCTCTAAAATTATACCTATATTGAGGAGGTCTGGACATGCCGGACCTGGACCAAGTTTCTAACTTAATCAAATCATAGATCCATGAGATTTAACGTACTTTGGTTACAATGACCACGATGAAGTAATATAATCATTGTCATTGGTACACTATGAAACAATCTTTAAAGTTCAGAGCGGCAGATCGAATTTCGGTCGGGCCTAAAGCGATCAAGGGTACAGTCTACAGCGTGAAAACTACACGTGTCTTGATAGTCATTCAATATCCAGATACACATAAACTTCTCTAAAATTAGACCTATATTGAGGAGGTCTGGACACTGAGATCTTATCAGTACAGATTCTTGGAGTAATTAACTTGGAAGAGGGTGGTAACTGGTAAGGGTGTCATTGTAATTCGATAGCCAAGTCACATTTCAGTGCTAGAGCCACGTGTTCTCCAATAATTGAACGATAATTACATTCCACTCACCGAGTTCCACACACCGCATGAACTCTCGTTATCAGTTAATTTAGTGCTGATGGTATTCCCTAATTCCCAGTCAGGTGTACGTGAACACATGCCTATTTCCGTACAAATTTGCAGTTTTCTCTCGAATAAAATAACCGATCTGTATCGCAATTTATCAGCCTCAGTATTAACATAAGGTAAAGGACTGATAAGTAATTGAATAAAGCTGATAAGTTAAGAAGTACGGGGTTTATAGTCCATCAATCCTTAATTAAATCCACGAGGATCAGTTGCAGAGCAAGATTTAGAGTACTCAATCAGGAAAGCTTAGAGTATTCAGTATTGTAATACGGACTTTATTATATCAGCTTAAAACTTTCAAAAGTAAGAGGAAATCTCCAATATTCCTTAATGTATGATTACATTATTACACTAAACATTATCCGTGATCCTTGAGTGCTAATATGCGAGAGCAAGCTTACAGCATCTCCAATCTGCACTGTGCATTGTTCCCCACATCAAGTTTAAGAGTTCACGCACTCTTCCTGTCTCTGAATAGCACTCTTTACACACTTTCGGTGCCTACTTTGTGTTCAGAAAATTAGCCTTACAGCTTACGTCTTCTACGTGTAGCTTGAAGATATCATGTGACTCAAGTTTACAGAGGCCTCACTGTAAATACAGGTCTGAATTTGAGGGCCATTGTTATCAGCCACAGTTCTTCAGCCGTACAATACAATTCAGAGCCAGTAGGGCTGGGTCAAATCATAATCTAACATTTAAATCTGAATTGCTTCAGCATCAAGAGTTGTCTTTGTTCTAAGAATAGCACTGAGATCTGAATGACTACTCACTTTAAATGCTACCCGGATGTACGAGTATGAAGTCTACAGTACGACAATTTCTTATAAATCTACATAACAACCAATAGTAATAACTGCTGTTGTTACAAGGACTAGACAGGGCAATTTGTTAGGTAGCGAAGAAATGCAGTGAAATGTACCGGAAGTCCACATTCTGTTAATATGGACCTGGATTACGCCGTTATATCGTTACAATATTATAAATATCGTTACTAACCAGACATTTCACTAATTATACTTGTAATTGCAGGATTAATACTACGAACTCTGCCTGATCGACCGTTAGTAAATTATGAATCGATCACTATAACAACAGTTACTTTATCTAAGTAACTCGTAAACGGTATGACTCAACCTAATTGTATTATGTCAGCTAGACTATATATTCAAATTGTGACTTTATTGTTACAGATTGCAAATTTCATAAAAATTTCATCAGAAATTATTTAAACCATAACATAAAACTGAATCATCCAAGAATCTAACCTACATTGTGGTCTCTAAAATAACCACAAGAATCTAATCTACATTGTGATCTATAAAATAACCGTAAATAAAGCAAACCTGCGACAAAGTATCCCAGAAGAGAGCAAGCTATGGCGAGGTAGAGAGAGTACCCAGGTACACAATCCCCCAACACAAATATCTTGCTGCTCTTACAAACGTTTGTTACCCAGTCCTGCTCCCAGAGGATCGGGAATAGGAACACCCCTATCAACACCAACACAGCTGAGGGAGAAAGAGGGGTTAGTGAGGGGTCAGTAGTTAGTGGGGAGGCGGTGATGGAAAAAGAAGAGAGTCGATATATTTGGAAAAGTAAGGATTCGTTAAGCAAAACAAGATATGTTTACCGACAAGACAGTTGATAAAAAGATTTAACATGACATGTCCAGAACAGTTTGATTGTCCAGTGAGCGGTGAACGTCTGGATTTGATAATATCACACTGTTGAACGTTGACAAACCAACTTTTAACACTAAGTCACCAAGTATGTCATGAGTACATTAAGATAACCCTTTAAACTGTAAAACCCTAGAAAACTGTCTTAATTTCTTCGGTGTGTTGGCCAGGTTTCTTATTTATACTGAATTGCACTTGTACACAAGTTGAATGCTGAATACATATACTATATACTTTCATGATAAAATAAGCTCACTCAAGTATTTAGCCGAGAGAGATTACACTGGACCTATAACCAGTACACTCGAATCCAGAGTACTGAGTCTGTCTAGAATCTAGATAATAGCCAGTAATGCCGTGCCCAGTGCTACACCAGGATCTAGCCACTCAGAGCCTTCCCCGCATGTCACATGACTCTACTCCAGAGAGATAAGTTTCCGCATACTCTTAATCAATCTATAGCTCTTCAAAAAAGTTTCACAGTCGTGAGTCGTTGAATGAATAATAGCGTGTAGTAGTCGAGGAAATATCCTACTCTCGAACGAGTAAATATATCAACATGCCAATACCATATTGATACACGCTCAGTTTAAACAACTCCATCCTACAGCATGATCATAAGCACCACCATTAATTTAAACCGTGTTATTTTGCGACATGCACACTGTAAACTGTGCACGGTCTTGTTTAAGTCCAGGTTTCTCAGTTGATCCAAAATCAGGTACAAACCCCGGCGGTAGACAGGTAATCGCTCATTACGCAGACGACCTGGACTAAGTTTCAACCTTTTAACCTTCTTCTCTTTGGTATAAATACCCAGGTAAACGGCACATTTCTCCCTCTCCCTAGTCTCCTTTAGTTGAACTGTGTAGATCAGAGAGAGAGAGAGAGAGAGAGAGAGAGAGAGAGAGAGAGAGAGAGAGAGAGAGAGAGAGAGAGAGAGAGAGAGAGAGAGAGAGAGAGAGAGAGAGAGAGAGAGAGAGAGAGAGAGAGAGAGAGAGAGAGAGAGAGAGAGAGAGAGAGAGAGAGAGAGAGAGAGAGAGAGAGAGAGAGAGAGAGAGAGAGAGAGAGAGAGAGAGAGAGAGAGAGAGAGAGAGAGAGAGAGAGAGAGAGAGAGAGAGAGAGAGAGAGAGAGAGAGAGAGAGAGAGAGAGAGAGAGAGAGAGAGAGAGAGAGAGAGAGAGAGAGAGAGAGAGAGAGAGAGAGAGAGAGAGATTGCTGCTTGAGGGAGAGCTGCCAATGTTCAATGATTGGGATATATTTGAATAACAGATGTGTGAACTCTGAGATTATGCATACTATAGGTAGGTAGGCGCTGCGGGTGTGTTATTGCAGGTATGACAGGGACCTAATGACAAGTGTTTAGCAGCGCACGGTATCTAACTGTCATAGTTGCTCTTCACAAAAGGAATCATTGCTCAGGCGAGCAGCCAAGTTCAAGCTCAGCTGACCTCCCAAATTGCGAGCGGTAAGATTTGTGAATTACTATAATTCTGCGTACAAGATGTTCTTTATAGTATTACATTATACGCACAAGACTCCAACATGGCTGAGTTTCTATAGAGCAGGCAATTTAGGAGAAGTAAACCACGCCCACATCAGCATGGATAACAGCTGACTCAAACACAAAATATCTATTAGGAAACACGTTATTGTACAGAGGCCTGATATTTGTTGGGAGCTAACTGATTGGAAAGCAAATACTACCTTGTGGTTGTGTGGCAATGTGGGCAACGTGGCAATGTGGCAACGCCCATATTCTTGTAGTTTTAGGTGATGATAGTTTTATCAGAGTGTTGAGATTTTGCAGGTGGTTATGATTGGGAAATGCGGGAACTATTTACAGAGGTATTTAACAGATGATGGAGGAGAAAATATGAATAGTTGAACAACACATTCTATATAATACACCAATACACCTTAAAAATGTCTCTGGTAACTTATGATGACTGAATACTGAACAGCTAATCGTACTAGAGAGTTAAGACATGACGTATAGAATCATTGCATAATATATAGCACTATAATTATAATTTAAATATAATTTTGAGGTTATACTATACTATACAGCTATACTACTAAGTATGGTTAGATTTACAGCATGGAAGTACCATTGCATGGTACTGGTACGTGAATTTATACTCACATGATGTGGCTTGCCAGATACCAGCAAGGGTATGGAAGGAGCGTCCACAAGCGGTCAGCTGATCACAGAAACAGTAGACCAGAGTGAGGATGGTCAGGAAAAACAGGGACAATATCCCTACTCCTAGTGTAGCGGTCACTATCAACAACATCTGAGGGATATAGCGGTCACTATCAACAATATCTGAGGGATATAGCGGTCACTATCAACAACATCTGAGGGATATAGCGGTCACTATCAACAACATCTGAGGGATATAGCGGTCACTATCAACAATATCTGAGGGATATAGCGGTCACTATCAACAACATATCATCTGAGGGATATAGCGGTCACTATCAACAATATCTGAGAGTCTGAGGGATATAGCGGTCACTATCAACAATATCTGAGGGATATAGCGGTCACTATCAACAACATCTGAGGGATATAGCGGTCACTATCAACAACATCTGAGGGATATAGCGGTCACTATCAACAACATCTGAGGGATATAGCGGTCACTATCAACAATATCTGAGAGTCTGAGGGATATAGCGGTCACTATCAACAACATCTGAGGGATATAGCGGTCACTATCAACAACATCTGAGGGATATAGCGGTCACTATCAACAACATCTGAGGGATATAGCGGTCACTATCAACAATATCTGAGGGATATAGCGGTCACTATCAACAATATCTGAGGGATATGGCGGTCACTATCAACAATATCTGAGGGATATAGCGGTCACTATCAACAATATCTGAGGGATATAGCGGTCACTATCAACAACATCTGAGGGATATAGCGGTCACTATCAACAATATCTGAGGGATATGGCGGTCACTTATTATAGTGGTCACTATCTAAAACATACTTTATAATGGAAGCGCGATTTGATAATTCATGCAAAACGTTATCTATTTTAAACATCTGAGGAATCTAATAGCTGTCCCCAGTCCCTGTTAATGCATAATATGACGTAATTAGTCGTAATGTAATGAATAATGATCATTACTGAATCAGTCAAGTATTTCAATTCCAGACAAATAGTTCGGACCGTGATTGGTGGCGAAATCTAAGATTTTGGTCGTTGTAAGAATTCGAACAGGTATTTAAAATATTTTATCACATGCTGCCTGTTGCTGAGCATGTGTTTGAATTTCAGTGAGTGTGATTGGTCTGTGTTTCGAAGCCATTGTTTCAATTGCAAGGTTTCAATAGTCGGTAGAAAGCCTTTAACAACTTTAGTAAAAAGTGTTAAAAAGTATTAAGGTAATGGCACAAATACCCCGACATGTGATAAATACAAGGAATGAAAACTATTTACATACCAAAAACCAGCCTGATGGCGACTAACATTTAACACTTGAAAAAATAATTAAACTTAATACTTAAAATATTAAATAAATTAAAACAGGAGGACCGATGACTTACAAGCGACTGAAAGTCCGTCCTGATACCATTACAACGGAATAAGGATTGAGTGAGCTCAGTCCCATTTACTGTTTTATTAACATCTTTAACTGAGCAGTCTTGGAAGAAGCCGATATGTGTAGTTTCTCCGTCTGAGTCGGGAGGTCCTGTAAAGAGATAATCTTAAATATACAGTTATACATTTCAAGGAATTTACCTATGCTATTAGTACCTAATATAATACCTATAGGCCTTGCGAAGAGATGATCTTAAATATACAGTGGAATTTACCTAGTATAGTGCCTAAGGCAGCTAGCAGAGATCTTAAAGTAAATTGTTAAGCTAGACAACAGAGGAAACTAGGTGAACAATTAACTTAGCCGGAATGTAAAACATGTTTCTTTTTACACGTGTGACAATGTTCACTGTGAGTATTATATAATAAAAATAGTGTACCCCTTCCCAAAGTGTGTAAACTCGGTAAAGAGCACTGAGAATAGACACAAAAACAGTGTGTGCTCCCTACACACTGTACAGTATGAACTATGAAGAGGGGGTAGTGTGTAAACTGTAGAGTGTATAGTGTAGAGGGGCCGGGGGGGTGTTGTGTAAACTGTAGAGTGTATAGTGTAGAGGGGCCGGGGGGGTGTTGTGTAAACTGTAGAGTGTATAGTGTAGAGGGGCGGGGTGGGGGGGGGGTGTTGTGTAAACTGTAGAGTGTATAGTGTAGAGGGGTGGGGCAGGTCGTGAAGTGCAAAGTGTGCAGTATTAACTGACCTACAAGCCACCAATTAGTACACGCACTGATTAACAGGCCTATAGTAAGTAGCCACGTGAGTAGGAACCAAACTACACTCTTCCACGTCTTGTAAGGCAACATTGCTGAAATAACAAGCGGTTAGTTGTTGTTAGTAACAACTTTCTAGCAGGGCGTGGTTAGGTGCTGTTAGTAAGACTACAAGTAACGCCTGAGTGAGCTCAACTTGTGAGAATCAACAGGTTTCCTGTTAATTTGTTAAACTTAACTTGATAACTTCGCACTTTTATTAAATTAATCACACCTTATTATGCTAATATTCACGATGACTTGTTACATACAATTTTGTCACCAACTACTTATTATTGGTTACAGAATATTACACAACACCGAAAATAGTAATTTACAAAAAAAAAGAAGAAAAGGAATTTGTCAACTTCAAATAATTATAGGTGAGTATACTGAGTAATTGTAACTGCTTTGCATATCTTGTTTACTGCCAGATTATTGCACTAGGACAGCAACTAATTTAATGGGATTAGCTCTAATTTCAGGGCAATTAAGAACAACCGCACACCCCGTTTTATGTTAACTTACACCATCTGTAATTCACGTCGCTCTTGCAATCGTAATAAAAGTAAAGACAGCTGAGAGGAATCTCGTAGGGACACTTCATATTCTCACTTTCACTTTCGCTTTCGCTTTCGCTTTCTCTTTCCCTCACACTGTCTCACACATCGATTTTCGTTTCTCGCACATTTAAGCACAGTCTCACATTATATTTTTGCACGCTAAATGAGCTACATTGCAGAATTAGACGTATAATTAAACGCACAGTAACGTTACTGTTAATTACAAGGACTGGCTAAAAGAGGAAAACAGGTTTCCTCGCACTACATTCTGCTTACACTGTACTGAGTTAGAGTGGTGATTATTACAGTGTACCCACACATTCCTATACGTGCTGTAAGTACAAGATCAACCAGTGGCCTTGCCTTGATGATTTATTATAGAATAAAATTATTAAATTACAAGCTTACAAGCGTGATACTCAACAGTGAAAATCGTAGGCTATCGATTGATGTCTCAGCAAGGCTCATGACCAATAACTTTAATAGTTAATGGCTGACGGACAACTAGGAACCTTTCAATTTTACCTAGTTAACTAATTAACATGCAAGCTTGGGAAATCCAATCAGCTCCGACAACTAGGAACCAATCATGACATGTCCCCGACAACTAGGAACCTCTGGAGATACTTTAAACTTTCAGGTGTCCACCGATTTCACAGCTGTGCTGTATATATTTCTGCACTCATTAATTAAGACAAAGATTTTTTTCAAGATAATGATAGTTCAAACCAAACATAATAATTACATACAGAATACATTACTCAATATCAATCTCATGGCCAAAGTATTTGGCAATCTCAAACAGATAGTCAACCTTGCTAGAGCAATCCGAGTATTTGGAACAGATCTGGAACAACTGGTCATTGGAAGTTTTCCTTCTAATCCTTTTCTTAGAAGGGGTTTTTCCAACACCCAGTCGATCGATATGGTAATCAGTGATCACCTGCTGCTCCCGAATAGCACGGAAGTACTCTTGCACGGTCGGCTTGGGTCGATTCACCCTGGATTTAAATCCACGATGAAAACCCTCGACCATGTTAGAGGTCCGGGGAAACTCCGGATCCTCCAACGTCTTGGAATAGTGATTCCAAAACGTCAAAGGAAACTTGGGAGGAACCCTTTCCTCACTGTCGACAGTTACTGACCCAAGGTAGGTTTTCTCGAAATAATTTACCACAACCATTAACTGAGGATAGTTAGCTTGGATGTAGTATGTTATTTGGTAGAACACCTCCTCAACATCAGCAACTGGGACAAAGGCGAGAAACACAACCAGCCTTGCGGCTCTAGCAAACATCTTATCAGAATAATATAAAACTTTAAACTTCTTCGAAATGTTCTTCTGAACAGCTTGACAGAGATGGAAGTAGCAATTGCTGATATCCCACCCTGGCAAACTGTTCTGAAGCGCATTCATCACCGCTTTCTCAAAGTCAATCATTATTGTACCAGTTTCAAGCATGAATCGTATAGCTCTGGGTGAATATATTCGGGGCGACGTAAAACGTGCCGTCTGCAATCCAGTTGTTGTACTCTGCCAGCGTAGCAAGGTTCCGGGCTGTAGAGAAGGCAACGACTCGTACGTTCCGATCTGTCTTTCCGTCGAAGAGAACAAAGGGCTCGTCCCGTCTCGTGGAGGTGCAGGTAGATGGGAGGAGGAATTCTTCTGAGGTCTTCGCTTCAGAGTGCTGTGCAGATCCGGACGCCTTGGCTCTACTGCGTTGTACCACCCGAGCGAGGGATTCCATGTTCGGTAGCGTCTGATTAGCTTCTGAGGTTGAATCTGCTAGGACTTCAGAGAGGAGGTTCTGGGTCACCGACAAGGGCTGTTCAGCAGCTTTCCGCTTCAGTGAGGAGAGGACTTCACGCTTCTGTGGTGCAGCGTTGTCAGCAGGGTGGTTGTGGAGTTTGGAGCCAAGGGATAAAGCGTTATCTGACAGGTTGAGGTAGGCATGATTGGGACACTTGGTAGGAGGGTTGTGCTTCCGGCATCGCCAAGCAGAGTGGATGGCTGTATCTTTAGCCTTCTTTCTGGAGTAGATGTAACCGTCCGTGTCCACCAGCTGTTGAGATCCTCTCTGTCCTTCGATGAATTTGGAGAAAGCAGGCATGTTGAATTGAAACCGATACTCTTCATGTTCACGTTTCAGTATATATACCAGAAGTGCGGTTGTATATTAACAGCTGATCAACTCCCGCACTTGTGATTTTATGTCTCGTATCACTCCCATTGCATGCTCGGCTCACATCCTTGGATACGAGAACCAGCCCCTTTCGGACCCGGCTCACATCCTTCGGACCCGGCTCACGTCCGTAATGTGAACACATACCGAGAGCTCAAACACTTCTTAATATACTTCATAATACACAGCTACTTACTAAACTGACATGTGAACCCTACCCAGGTTCTTGGTTGCCCGGCTGTTAGGATGGTTATAATATGGATCACATCACAAATGATACGTCACTGATTGGGCCATGTGATGTGATACCTGTGGGAGGCCGAAATGAGAGGTTCCTAGTTGTCGGTCACCGACTTTAATATGTAATAATGATCAATTATTTTACTCATTAACGAACTACTCAGCCTCACAGTTAATTACCCCTACTAAGGAGGCCACTTACTTGCGTGATTTCCTGGTTTTCACTAATAAACACTTTCAGTTTTCTACTAAAATCATATTTACGATCATCAAAATGGACTAACAGCAAATAAATTGGACGACACGAAACTGGATGTAAGTGATCTGATTACCGGTTTTTAATTACAGTACGGTTAATGATTAGCAGCACAACCAATGACGTTGTTGCAAAGCTTACATTCCAGAACTCAGCTCAAATTCCAGACTTAAACTCAGGTAAGATAGATGTGCAACTAATGATAATAACTACCAGTAAACAAACTCCTCAAGGATTGCCGCTCCAATTTCTAAGTAGACTGTATCTTGGGGTAAGAGTTGACCAGGCTGTGCCATAACAATGAAAACTTAACTAAACCTGAACACTCTTGAAAATGAACTGAATTGAGACAACATGAAGACAGATTCTTTACTTCAGGAGAAAACCAGTCCAGGAACAAGCAACCTAAAAAGACGAGACTAGGAACTACCTAGTAAAGATACCCTAGACCGCTAACTTTAGTGAAGAGTTGATAATTTGTGCCATTAACCTGAGAATTTACCCAATCAAATTTGAGCAGGTAGCTACAATTGGCAGGTATAAGTCTGGTCTAAAGTAGAGAAGTAGAGAGAAGCCAGGCTTGTTCAGCTTTACTACAAATTAGTAAATGTTCAACTGTCATCAAAATACGTAAAACCTTTTATTTGCACTGTTGCAGTCATAACATGCCCGTCCTGAATGAATATGCAGAAAATAAACTCCTGCCAACCCTCAAAGGAGGGCGTGGTAATTACATAAATTGGGTACAATCTAGCTGGATTATAAGTCTATTTAGTGTTTACTGTCTACCTGTATTTACTTCAGTATTCTATATCTGTCAGCGTCGTAGTTTTGTTTCTGATGGCAAAAATGTGGCACTTTGAAACTATTTAACGCTTTTAAGCGGATACAGTCACGATTTACCGAGCATACCAAATAACAGGACTGTTCGTTATTCGCAGTAATTGTCACGTGTCATGTCGTGATTGTTTCACAACATCTGTTAGGAAAACTGTTCCTAGCAACGACTTGGCGACAGAGAGTTATCCGATCGTAGTTACAGACAGTAACTACAAATAGTAATTACGATTACTATTCAGAGTGTTAAAGATAGGCTTGCTAATCAGACTTCTCACCACACCGTTTAAGAAATTTAGTGCCAACCTCTTTTTTTGCGTTTTTGACTCAAAACGAAGACAACTTACAAGGCAATACCTAGCAACGACAACTTATAATGATATACAGTAATTACATAATTTCACACCCAATTCAATTGCAATGACTTTACACTTTTACACACGACTCGATATTGTGAACCATATAGACTTTCCGGGTCAATTCAATTATGTTAGCTTGTTGTATCTTGTATCTTTGTTGTACGTGGCTATTTTCGTTTGATACTTCTAATCTGCAATTATTCGATTGAAATCTTGATATCTCTTAAAAATGTGTAAGACAACTTACACGCCCAAAAAATCTACACGCCCAAAAAAGCAACGACCAACAGAAACAACATCTCCGATAAACAAAACCCTCAAATAAGCAAAATCTCTCAATCAACCACCCTCTCTCTCTACACTGACACAGATTACAAGGAGCACAGAAGACAGACTACACCGACGACACACGAGCATGTCGATTAGAATATGGAGCGCGCATAATAGCAGTTGTTGACGTGTAGGAGCTTAGAACGCGTCTTTAATCTACACGACCAGCCTCAGTCCTTCATATCACAAGATGGGATATATACTTTATATAATCGGCTTAACGATATAGTTTAAATTCTGTTGCATTGTTAACAAAACTAGTTACGAAGAAGCTGAAGAATGCTAATT